CCTGAGCTCATGAGATCCTCGAGCCCAGGGCTCCCTCCCGTTGCAAAGCGGAGTTTGAGCTCAGGTAGATCTCGAGAACTCCCCTGCTGTAGCAAGTGAATGCTCTTGAAACTAATTACTAACTAGAAGCGTGTCTATGTTGACAATTTGGATTGTTCAATTAACTTAATTGCATGTTTTTAGGCGGTGGGAGGAAACCGGGGAACCCGGGGGAAACCCACGTGAGCACGGGGAGAAGTGCAAAACTCCGCACAGAAATGTCTGCTAGTTTTGGTAAAGCCAGGAACCAGAGACATTCTTGCTGTGAGGCGACAGTGCTAGGCACTGGGCCACCGTGTCACCTGTCTAAGACGGAGGCGTAGGGGAGGAAGGGGGGACTCTTCAAAACGAAGATAGCAATGAAATAAACCCCAGGGTATTTATAGTAGTTTAGGAGTCATCTGATTGGATCGTAGTGAATTGGATAATGCGGGTCAGCTGCTAGCAATCATAAGCACGTGATCCTCTCGAAATTTGTTTATACATAAACTTCACTTAGTCAGTCAGTCAGCACGTCACCTTGAAGGGTTAAACAGAACGCACAACACTATATGGTCACAGAAAAGTTTGCGCTGTTATTTTTCACTTACCGTTTCATAAGTTTTTGGAGCGATTATAACCCGCTATTTAAAAAAACGACTGAATATTTTGAATAAGAAGCTGTAATGTAGCTGTGGCGGGATGAATTTATGTGTGGCGTCCCGCCACGGAAGAATGAATGAAGCGGAAACCATGGCTTTATAAACGTTTATTATTAACATTTCATGAGTCTCACCATACAGTTGAATAGAGTGCTTGAACCATGAAGCCACTTCGCGTGACGTCACACTTAACAAGCAGAGAACTCAGGCCATGTTACTTTGTGAAGTATTGCCAGTTTACCTGCTCTACCAAGCTTTGTTCCAAGTGATTCTCATGACTGCTATCCTGTGTATGACCCTGCCTGTTTTGATCATGTCTTTGACTTTTAATCTGCTTTAGACTAATTGTTGTTCCCTTGAACCTTTGCTTGGCTTATCACTAGGGATGGCAGACGTAAAACTGATATTTCGACACAGTTTCGAGATCCCGAAGCGCAAGTGTTTCGAAACACTGCACCGAAGCATGATTCGAAGCACCCAAGTCACATGACTAAAGTGTTTCGAAACACCTGGTCACGTGACTAAAGCGATTCAAAGCATGGATCAGCTTAAAAGTGTTTCGAGACCGGGCCAATCTTCATTTGGCTGCCAAGGTCGAAAAAATTTCGTTTCATATGGCCTAGTGGACTGTACGTGTGCACGCTGATACTGTGCTTCGAATTACGTTTTGGGTTCAAATCCCGACTTGTACAAATATTCATGGCTTCATGTATGTTAATCATGTTTCTGTTTTGTGTAGCCTAAATAGGATACAGCTGCAGTTACGCCCTCAATATAGCATCATTTTTGTAACACTGTACACACACTGTAACACTGGTTTTGTGTAGGCATTAATAAAATACAATAAATGGGAAATTTAATGAATAATATAAATAATTCTTGATAACTTCAGGCCACAGTTTCTGATCTAGCATTAGATCCCTGTTTTAAGACTAAAACAAGACATATTTATTCACAAAGTGTTTATTCGGATATCAGACCAATGTTGACACAAAACGATACAAAAGCAATGCATAACCAACTGGTATTAAAGCATTTCAAAATAACATCAGCCTGGATTCGAACCCACTATCCCTGCATGGTAGTCATACACTTTAACCACTTCACTATTATTACTTGAAGGCCAAATCATGCTTAGTGGGCTTTAATGCCTCAATTTGCTCATCTGTTCTTTGCTGAAGCTGTTTCAGTGCAATACATAAAAAAATGACCACTAGGTGTCACTGTAGAGTGGGGTTTCAAAACGTTTCGAAGCTTCGACACATTTGCTTCGACTGTTTCAGTGTTTCACGAAGCCTCGCTTTGCCCACCACTACTTATCACTGCGTCTTCTGGATTTGCCCTTGATTTTGTCGAACGGTTTAGACTGCTCACATGTTGCCAACTCTTGGCCTGTTTACACGTTGATGTCTCTGCGCAAGCCCCTTAATAAACTCCTCGATACATTAACACACTACACTAAGTATGGTATTTGACTTCAGTCGTTACCAGTTGATGAGTGTGAAAGTAATAAGGGAGCAGAAAAACAACCTCACCATACAATATGAGTAAAGCAAGACGGTAAAAAATACGGTATAGAAAAAAAAACATTTGATAAAGGGAAACTAAAATTTAAAGCAACAAACAAAATCCTGATATTCCATGACATGAAATTCCCTGTCTATGTCTGAAATAAAGACATCTCCAGATTTCCTGAAATATCATGACCTGTGGGAACTCTGAAGAGAGTTTAGTTTAGGAAGTCTTCACTCTAGTTTAAAGATGAGGTATAAGTATGTGACGTATAAAGCAATGTTGTCATAATATCAGCATGTGCTTTATATTTTACACAGGAGGTTTAACAACATCACAAACAGAGGGAGTAAAAGCCAAAAGGTCTGGCTGAAGTGTGAGAAATGCAGTACTCTTGTAGCTCAAAGAGAAAAGCTCATGAAGATTAACCCAATCCACCATCAGCTCACTCAGTACAATAGAAAACATGACATGAAGCAGAGATGCGTGACTAATGTGCAGGGATGTCCCGATCAGATATTTTGATAAAATAATATAAGTGCAAGGATTTTGCTATTAAACTCAAATAAATTAAAATATTGTATTGGTGTTTACCTAAATGTTAGCTCTGTGTGTCCTCTATAGTTCTGTGGAGGGTCCGTGGACTGGTCACTCGTCACAGACGCAACACTGGACTCTGGTGACTTTGATTTTTGCATTTGGACTGAACTGAAATAAAATATGATGAGAAAACAGAAACAGACACTTTAACAATAATTAATTGCTGACTGATGCAAACAAAAAAAATCTCTAATCATAAACTGAACATCATATTATGCAGTTTAATGACATTATTACACACTGAAGCATAGATACAGGGACATATAAGATTACTGTGACAGCACCGTCCCATTTTAATGTGCTCATTTAATGTTAACACTAAGAATTTAGAGACAATTCCTTCACGTTTTTTTGTTTCCAAAAGTTGAACGCCGGAGCAAAATTAAACTTAAAAGCAATTTACCAATTTACCCTCCCTCAAGTGCCATGAACTGAAGCCCAGGAGGACACTTAAGCGTATCACAGAGATTGTGATGTTGTTTGATGCTAATTTGCTTTTAATAGTTTAAATCAAACTTACTGGTAGGGATGGCTGACGTGAAACTAACGTTTCGACACAATTTCGAGATCCCGAAGCGGAAGTGTTTCAAAACAATGCACCGAAGCATGTTCCGAAACACCCAGGTCACGTGACTAAAGTGTTTCGAAACACTTGGTCACGTGACTAAAGTGATTCAAAGCATCGATCAGTTAAGAAGCGTTTTGACACCGGGCGAATCTAAACAATACTGCCGTCTCATATGGTCAAGTGGACTGTGCGTGAGTACGCTTTTACAGTTCCTTTAATGTCTTTTGGGTTCGAACCTCGACTTGTACAAATACTGCCAAATCATGGTTTTATGTATTTTAATCATATTTCTGTTTTATGGTGCAGCCTAAATAGATTACAGCTGCGGATACGCCATTAATATAGCATCCTTTTTGTAACACTAAAACAATAATAAATATTTTAACAGTACTGATGGTTGGGTTTAGGGTTTGGGTAGACGTTAATGAAATACAATAAATGGGAAATTTAATGAATAATATAACTAATTCTTGATACCTTCTGGCCACAACTGTGTCTGATCTAGCAACAACCGTTTTAATACCAAAACAAGACATTTATTTACAAAGTGTTTATTCGGATGTCAGACCATGTTCAAACAAAACGAAACAAGAACAAAGAATTACCAACTGGTATTAAAGCATTTCAAAATAGCTGTATCAGCCTGGATTCAAACCCACTATCCACACATGAAAGTCAGAAACCTTAACTGCTCCACTAAAACTCTTGAATATATACTTCTACACAGTAGGGTTTAATACCTCAATTTGCTAAAATGTTCTTGCTGAAGCTGTTTCGGTGCAATACATGAAAAAATGACCACTAGGTGTCACCGTAGAGTCGGATTTTGAAACGTTTCGAAACTTCGACTCATTTGCTTCGATTTTCAGTGTTTCACGAAGCCTCGCTTTGCCCACCACTAGAGGGAAGGCAGGGGGATGGATGGCGGGCGTTCATTTTTCCGCTTTCTTCCGGGTGAAAAGTATTTTTATCTAGAGCTGCTTGTGTTATTCCGTCCAATACCCTCAGGCATGATCGCTTATAAATATTTATAATATACTTACCAAGTAAAGTGTACCTATTAAAGTGGCCGGTGAGTTTATAGAGATGATAGATAGATAGATAGATAGATAGATAGATAGATAGATAGATAGATAGATAGATAGATAGATAGATAGATAGATAGATAGATAGACAGACAGACAGACAGACAGACAGACAGATAGATAGATAGATAGATAGATAGATAGATAGATAGATAGATAGATAGATAGATAAACATATTTTTAAAGATGTTGGTGTCTCCTTAAAATATTACCAGGCTTTTTTTTATAATTTTAACATACTTTTAATTCTTTAACCATATTTATAAGATGCATTTTTAATATTTTGATATTTTGTGATAACCATGTAAAGTGACAGTTTCTTTTTCTAGAGGCGGTTTCACATATTGGCACGTGTGCGCAGCAATGACGTCAATGAAGGATTACACATTTCTCAGTTTCACACCACACCACACACACGCACACACACACTGTACAATGCACACTACAAGACGCACATAAAGCAGTGATGTGATTGGCTGAAAGAGAATCGGAGGCGGGCTCAATCGTTCATTCCTGCCTTCTGATTGGTCAGAGCGGGTACAGTAGGTGACGAGTCTAGAGAGGGTTGAACTTCTCTGTCCATTTCGCTCGCTGTACCCAGACGGAGACAGCAGCCAGCCTGTTTACTACACTATTACACCGCTTTACCGAGAGAAACTCCGACGATCTAACATGCAAATGACACAAAGACAGTAGTTCAGACAGAAAAGGTGGGTAGACCTTTGCATAATTGTGTCGTTGTTGTTTTTTCATTTGTTTTCCTAGAGAGCAGCAAAGCGGAACCGAATGTAAATGCTATAAACGAGTCGTTCATACCCGAGCATTTTCATTATCGAAATGCTTTAAATCTACGCTCATTTGCTCTAATTTCAGTAGATATGTGTGAAAGAGCTGTTTTTTTGCAGTGTCCTCGCGCAGGCAGCTGTCACTGCGGATGTTCGTGCGTCACTGTCACGTCGTCACGTGACTCATTGTGCTGCAAACTTCTGTAGGCTTTGTGACAAATTCAGTCATGAAAAGATGATTTTTGGAAGTAAAAACAGATATTTACGGAAGCTAAATAAACAAACCATTTGCCAGAAGTTAGTTCTCTATTAGTTGCGTTATTTTGGAATTTTAAAACAAAACCAGTGTTGGCAAACAATGTTTACTTTTATAATTACGCTTTTTATTATTTTTAAATTAGATGTACGTTATTAATTTTTTCTTTTAATTGACGTCAGTTGACGTACTGCCATCATTATGCATCAACAAACCGCGATTACGTTGATTACTGTTAATAGCAAGTGTTAGCAAGCTAAGCTAACCAGTCATTCGTGATTATCACTGAGTAATACCGCCTTATGTAAACCACTTATGTTAATAGCATACTCATACTTTTAACATTTTCTGTAAATACAACAAGTCGTTAAGGCCTACCTATTTAGCATCCCACAATGCAGTGGGCGCAGATTTACCTTACATTTCCAGTGTGACTAACAAGTGTTAAACGCTGGTTTTGAGATTTCTTTCTTATTTTTTTATTTAGATCACCCAATAATATGTTGATTTTTGCGTCTGTTCCACATATTGCTTTTTAAAATAGTTTTATTTCCACATTGTGCAATGAGTCTAAAGTTTGGCTAGTCAGATTAGCATTGACCTCACTTTGAATAGACATGATCATTACACGTGTGACTAATCTATCCATTGAAAGCAATATATACCTGACATTTAATTAATTATATTATAATAGATGTTTTAGCAATGACCAGGGTTTTTAGGGCTCTTAGAAGTGGCATAGCCTTGTTTTTCACTGCTCATGCTACTGTAGTAATGGCCAATGGTGACTTAAGGACAACTAATAGCCTTTGAGTATAGAGGTCAGTAGGCTAATGTCTGAACCTGCAGTGCTTTTTATAATACTCTTTTTCCATTGACGTAACAATGCAAGACACCACAATTAAATAAGGATTTAAGGCACTTACAGAGTTGATCAATCACAGCACAATTAAGAAATTTAAGTGTTATGCAAATGAGATATTGCCCTGAGAGTAATCCAGTCTCAGAAATGACCAGATTTTGTCAGTAGTGTCTTTCTTTAAATCCTTACTAGCCTTAAAGGAGACCTATTATGTCACGTTTTACATGGTGTAGCATAAGTCTGTGATGGCCCTAGTGTGTATACATAAGATTTCAGCTCAAAATATCCCACTAATAATGTTTTATAACTCTCTGAAACTGCAGCTTTTAAGATTTGATCCAAGTTGTGCTGTTTTGCTGACTGCTGCTTTAAATTCAAATGAGATTGTGCTGTTTTCAAAAAAGGGCGGAGCTACAAATGCCCATGTGTCAGCATAGTGACACACAGGCATAGAAGCTGGATATATTCACACACTGATGCCACAAAACCTTGTTTAAAGCCCTTATAAAAGAGATTTTCCCATAATAACTATCCTTTAAATTATTAAAATAACGTCTTTCTAATAAAATAATAATACATTTTGCATATTAAAATGATCCATATGCCCTATAAAACCTTCGCTTTTTGCTGCACAGATGGAGGACGTGGCCCCAGTTCTCGCAGGCCCGTCTCAGCCCACGTTCTCCAGGCCCTCAGAGCGCCGAAACCGCAAGTCTGGCACCGCGAACATCTTCCAGGGAGTGAACCTGCGGCAGCTGCGGCGGCTCTTCCAGGTGGCAGGAGACCCGGATGCGGAGCAGAGGGCGCGGATGGTTTGGGGCCGACGGAGGGCGGCTGGGGGCGCAGAGGATGGAGCAGATGCAGAGCAGGATGAAGACAGCGGGGCGGCGGAGGTGGAGACGGGGCTGGCACAGGCGCTGGTGGGGCTCCGAGTCCGAGCCAGGAACAGAAGCGGACTCCGGGTGGAGCAGCATAAAGACACGAGCGGTCAGAGATGGGTCAGAGCCTTCGGCCATCTCAGGTGAGACTCAGATTAGATGCTTATTTCAAGATGAGAGGGAAACACTTGAGTTTAAAAAAAGCTAATTCACTACTGGATTATTAATAAATAGTTCACACAAAAATAAATAAAGGTGTCATCATCTACTCTTTACATGTTTCAAACCTTTATGGGTTTCTGTTGAACAGGAAGAAAGCTGAAAACCTGTAACCATTCACTTCCATAGTATTTGTTTTTTCTACTATATAAGTCAATGGTTACCTGTTTTCGGCTTTCTTCAGCATATCTTCTTTTGCATTGAACAGAAGAAACTCATAAATGTTTGGAACCACGAGTAAATAGTGAGTAAATATACATTTTTATCCATTTAAATGGAAATTATTTATCCATTTTTATCCAAATATTATGGAAGTTTATCCCAATGGCAGTTGTTGTTCTAAACCGGATCAATGTTTGTAGTGAATGAGGTGGTTACCAAGTATGATTTGCAGTATTGTGTATGGGGCTAATTTGGTTTTTAAACTTTTAACTTATGTTGTTGTGTTGATAAGTGTTATTGTGTCGTTGTTGTATGTTTGTAATTGTTGTCCTAAATCCAGTGTTGAAGAAAAATTTCCTTTCTGTGTCAAGCAGAACGGACAATAAAGTTTAAACTTAATAAGATGATATTGGCTGTTTATTAGCACTTACAGACCATTTCAATGTGGTCACGTCATTGACCCATAAACATTTCCTTCTTGTTATCAAACTATTTCATAACTGTAGCAAGAGGCAATTCAATCATTATGTTAAAACAGCTCTCATAACATTAATTTATCAATATGTGGCTCTTTTTGGATTCTCGGAAGCTGTGATAAATTAAAAATGTACAACAGGAAATACATTGGGACCATTGTTTTTGTTTACATCCCTCAAAATGGTCTAAAAATTTTGATCTTATTCTACATACCTAACCCTAGCCAATAACTAAACCCAACTATTACCTTAACTATTATTAAGCAGCTAATGGCATTGAGCTAAAAGCCTTAGTTAATAGTTTGTTATTAGTTAGAATTATTCCTTAAAATACAGTGGGAGCATCATTAAAGCATATATGCTTCAGTGCTGTGTATACACAGTGGTGTGTGCTCTGTAAATGACTTTATTAAACTTTTACAAATTAATTGTAATGTATATACAGTTGAAGTCAGAATTATTAGCCCCCCCCCTACCCTCAACCTTTGAATTTTTTTTTCTTTTTTAAATATTTCCCAAATGATGTTTAACAGAGCAGAGAAATTCTCACAGTATTTCCTATAATATTTTTTCTTTTGGAGAAAGTCTTATTTGTTTTATTTCGGCTAGAATTAAAGCAGTTTTTAAATTTTTAAACACCATTTTAAGGTCGAAATTATTAGCCCATTTAAGCTGTATATTTTCTCGATAGTCTACAGAACAAACCATCATTATACAATAACTTGCCTAATTACCCTAACCTGCCTAGTTAACCTAATTAACCTAGTTAAGCCTTTAAATGTCACTTTAAGCTGTATAGAAGTGTCTTGAAAAATATCAAGTAAAATATTATTTACTGTCATCATGGCAAAGATAAAATAAATCAGTTATTAGAAATTAGTTATAAAAAATAGTTTGTTTAGAAATGTGTTAAACTAATCTGCTCTCTGTTAAACAGAAATTGGGGAAAAAATAAACAGGGGGGCTTATAATTTTGACTTCAGCTGTACTTAAACTGCGAAGATTTGTTTTTGAAACTTGCATCACTTTAGTTTTAAAACACTGAATTCCTTTAGGCACATGAATTTAGTTTTATTTTCTACATACTGTAATCATAATTGTGTTTTTTTAACCGAAACTGTGGATGACAGCATCTTTTTTGTGTTAATCTTGCAAAACCGGTCTGAAACATGTCAAAGTCACAGTATATCCCACCATCAAAGATAATCAGCACAAAGCAAATTAAGCCTAGTTTAGGAAATAAAAAAAAACATCAAAACAAAAACAACTTTAACTTCAACAGAGGCAAAATCTGATCGCAATGAATGAACGAATCGAACATGTCAAACCAACGATCAGAGATCATCGATTTTAGCCCAGGATTTCAGGAATCTTTTAGGATTTCCCAAATTTGTCTCAGATGACTAAATCGTGGCTGAAATGAGCAAATTAATGAGTAAATTATGTAATTTTTTAAAACAAGTTCTGATTATTTAGATATTTTTTTCTACAGAAAGTAACACAACAATTATAAATAATATTATAATAATGCATTATTAATACATTAAAAATAAAATTAAGTTACAGTAGACTGTTTACATTTTAACAGCAATTTTAAAACATTACATTAAAATAAAATACTATTTTAATTGTTTAAATTTTCTCATTATCTGCAATACAAAAAATAATGGCTCCTTTTTATTTGTGTAAATTATCAGTCTACTATGTAAGGGATATGTTTATGTCTTTATTATTTTTGCAATGCAATTGTTTTGTGCTATAATAAAGCTAAATACATTACATGTGCAAAGTATAGTCTTGTGAGTAAAAATGACAACAGCATAAACTTTCAATAGTGGGTATCACAAATATTAATAAAAATAAAAAATAAGTAAAACTTTAATTAAAATCTTATTGATTTGATGCTGAAATGTGACTTTTGAGCTGAATTTACGTGTTACACTGTAAAAAAAATTTGTTAATTAGCAGTTTCTGTATTTTGTGATTCAGAAGCGTTTGTTTACGGTTGTGATTTGCATTATGGGATGTTGATCTCTGCTCTGTTGACTTTTAATGTTAAAAATTCAACTCTACAGTTTAACAAAGAGACTTTTATTAACATTTCAGTCATTTAAAATAATAATATAATGTATAAAAAAAACACATATAGAGAAAGTCTGTAAAATAACAGAAAATGTGCCGACAGTTAAATACAAGGGGTTTTGTAGCATAATATACACCAACCCAGATTTATCACCAAATATATCACTTTAAACTATTACAAATGTTCGTAAAAGTCACTTTGTACAACTTTTCAAGGTTATAAGTCGTTGACAGAAAGATCAAGATCCCATAATGCAATTCAGAAGCAGAAATAAATGCAGGAAAATAAAAACATGAAGCACAAAACATGTAAAACTGCTAATTGATGCATATTTTTCACAGTGTAGATTTACTCAGTCATCAGTGTGCCAGCTTAACACACTTCGACTACCACTGTGAGTGTGTGTGTATAAGTGTGTGAATGGAAACTACTAATCTGAACTAATGTAGGTCATGAGATCAGCCACACACTCGGCACGCTAAAAACCCTGTGAGCAGACCAGAAAATCTACACACACACACACACATACACACACACACACACACACACACACACCTGTGAACATGAGCATGAAAACACCATCATTACAGCCGATTTGACTGTTATTACTTGATTGAATGGGCGTTATCAGTCGTAATCAGCTGATAGATATGGGCCAGTAGGGGCCTTCTGCGCCTACTAGTAGACTGAGAAGGCTGTTATCATCCATCCACATGGTAAATCAGCTACAAATGAAATACAGGTGTGGCAAGAAGTTAACAAGAATTATTTATATTAATTGTATTCTATTAACGTCTACCCCAACCCTAATCCCAACCGTCACAGTGATGTAAAAACAGATCTGGATCTGGAGTCTTCTCTATTAGTATAGCTGATTTACCATGTGGATGGATGATAACAGCCTTCTGCGCCAACTAGTAGGCACTGAAGGCCCCTACTGGCCCATATCTATCAGCTGATAACGCCCATTCAATCGAGAGATAACATTTAAAGTGGGTGATCATTACACCATCTAATATATCCACACTCTTTCCTCTGATCATCTCTTCAGAATAAACGAGGGCTCGCTGAACCCGACGACCGAAGGCACGCCTGCAGAAGATGAAGAAGTCAATGAGGAGGAGGAAGAATCGTCCGCTGCTGGTGGCCAGAGCTCTTTTGAAAGCTCATCACATGACCAGGGCGACTTCCCATCCACGGAGGAAGAGACTCAGGGCCCCGGCCCCAGATGGAGCTGGAACGCGGTTCAGGAGAAGGACCCGGAGCGCTACCTGCACCGCATCCGACACTGATGCAGCAGCAAAGCATCATGGGATTACAGCCTGAGAGACTCCGTAGATTTACTTGAAGCCTCAATCAAACGCTAGTCTTAAAGGAGCGATGATCAACACTACAGCACGTAAACACTCACCCGCAGCATGTGCTGTTCTACCTTAAGTTGTTTACGGGTTTCGTGCCATTCTCACGTCGCAGACTCAAACACTAGTTGAGGGATGGTGCACTTAAAGGGGCAGTTCACCTAAAAATGAGCATTTACTCACTCTTTCACAAGTGGTCACAAACATTTATAGGTTTCTTTCTTCTGCTGAAAATAAATGAAGATATTTTAAAGAATGATGAAAACCGGTAACCATTGACTTCCATTGTAGGAAAAACAAATATTATGTAAGTCAATGGTTACCGGTTTTCAGAATTTTCCACAAACATTTATGAGTTTCTTTCTCCTGTTGAACACAAATGAAGATATTTTAAAGTATGATGAAAACCGGTAACCATTGACTTTCATTGTAGGAAAGGCAAATACTATAGAAGTCAATGGTTGTCAGTTTTCAGCATTCTTTACAAACATTTGAGTTTTTTTTTCTCCTATTGAACACAAAAAGATATTTTGAAGAATGATGAAAACCGGTAACCGTTTATTTCTATATGAAAAATAACTACAATGGAAGTCAATGGTTACCAGTTTCAGTATTCTTCAAACCTTGTTCTTTGGTGTTTGACAGAGGAAAGAACATTTTCTCACTGTTTACTTTTTCTCATGAAGTTGCAATCCTTAATGAGTCTGTTTCTTCTGTTAAACATAAATGAAGATATTTTGAAGAATGCTGAAAACCGGTCACCATTGACTTCCATAGTATTTGTTTTTCCTTCAATGAAAGTCAATGGTTACCGGTTTTCAGCATTCTTTACAAACATTTAAGAGTTTCTCTCTTTTGTTGAACACAAATGAAAATATTTTAAAGAATGCTGAAAACAGGTAACCATTGACTAACATTGCAGGAACAACAAATACTATTTAAGTCAATGGTTACCAGTTTTCATTGTTATTCAAAATATGTTCTTTTGTGTTTATCAGAGGAAAGAAACTCATTGGGGTTTGAAACAAGTTCTGTTGAACAGAAATGAAGATATTTTGATGAGTGCTGAAAACCGGTAACCATTGACTTCAATTTTAGTCAGCATTATTTAAAATGTATTCTTTGATGTTTGATATAGGAAAGAGACTCATGGGGGTTTGAAACAGATAAAGGATGAGTAAATGATACAGTATTTTCAGTTTTGGGTGAACTGTCTCTTCAAAACATCAAATCGGTCTGTATTTACTCGCGCTCGTGTCATGTCAGACTCTTTCACTGAGATCTTCATGGTGCTCTTTTTTTATAATGCGAGTGAAACGAGGTCATTAAAGACGGAGAGAAAATGACAACATTTTCACAAAGCTACTGTAAAAATACTACTCATGCACTATAATCCTTAGTTTTATTTATTTTTATTTAGGGTGAGTCCTGCAAGATCTGCAAAAAAAAAAATTTAAAGAAAAATAAATAAATAATTATAATATAAAATAAAATATATTGGAGTAAATTAAACAAATTTTAAATTAAAAAAACTACTCTCAATGCAAATTAAATAATAATTATGCGATATTTTGGGATACATTAAGGATTATTTTTGTTTATTGTAAAACAAAATACATTAATGCATTATTTTTTAAGGTAATATATTCATATCAGTAAGTTTATTATATTCATATTTAGTAAGAATTTAATTCAAATGAGTATTTAATTAAAAATTATACATAATTCTGATATTTGTTTTGACACTAACATAAATAATATAACCATAGTAATGCATTTATTATTATGAATAAGTAAAAATATTGTGTTATAATGTATTTCTGTGGTTGAGAATCTGTTTGGAGGAAAACAATTTAAATATTGGGAGTAAATTTGCTTACATTTTCACAAAAGAAATGACCAATTACCCCGAAAACAAAACCTTTTTCTTTTAAATTAGATTTTTGAAACAAATACTATGGAAGTCAATGGTTACTGGTTTTTAGCATTCTTTACAAACATTTATGAATATCTTTCTTCTGTTGAACACAAAAGAAGATATTTTGAAGAATGATCAAAACTGGTAACTATTGACTAACACTGTAGGAAAAGCAAATACTATGAAAGTAAATGGTTACTGATTCTCAGCAATCTTCACAAACAATTATGATGTTCTTTCCACTGTTGAACACAAGATATTTTGAAGAATAATCAAAACCAGTAACCATTGACTAACCATGTAGGAAAAGCAAATACTATACAAGTCAATGGTTACCGATTTTTAGCTTTCTTCACAAACATTTATGATGTTCTTTTCACTGTTGAACACTGAAGATATTTTCAAGAATGATGTAAACCGGCAACCATTGACTAAGATTGTACTATGGAAGTCTATGGTTACCGGTTTTCTGCATTCTATACAAACATTTAAGAGTTTCTTTCTGGGATGAATTAAATGAGAATTGGGCAAAGTTTTTTGTAGGATTCACCCTAATAGATATACTTTAAAGTCTGTCTCTTCACAATAAACTATAATAAATGTAGCATCAGATGATTTGTGATGTACTGCATGAGTCATACACACTATTTATAACCATTTTTTGTCTATGGCTGTTCACCGTTATTACATTTGTGCTGACTGTAGATATTTTATACTGGAAAGAAGAAAAAAAAGAGTCTGGGAACAACATGTGGGCGAGTAAATAAGGCGTTCATTTCTGGTGCACCGTCTCTTTAAACACAGTTATTTATTTCTCTCACTGAAGCTTCCAGAGCCCCGATCAGCATTTATTTTCCATTACTATGAATGTACGGGGCTGAAGAGTATTGATTTGCTTTTATTTAATGACATGTGCTTGTATATTTTTGTCTTGAAACACTATAGTTTCTCTGTAGTCCTCCTCTTGGGGAGCGTTCTGCCTTCCAATGGTGTTTAATGTTCAGTATCTAAATATATATGTGTATATATAAACGAATGTATTTGCATCGACTGTATTAGTACAGTTCTCCTCAATCAGTAGTGCTGTTTTAGATACTAGTAGTCTGTAGAAGCTGCACACTATTGCTGTTGATTATTTCATGTCTTCTTCTGTCACTCAGACAGACGTTCAGAAGCAATACGAATGAAGAAAACAACAACATGTAGCCGAATTGAACAAACACTACCACATGCACAAGAACGAGAGCTGTTTTTCTTGTTATTTAAGCTGGATCTTGCGATTAAAAAGTGTTTTTTGAAATAAAACTCGAGTCTGTTCTTTTATTGAGTAACATTATAGTTTTTAGCGTCTTTCATTAAATACATTACATACAAATTATACAGTCCATTGTCATGGTCAGTTTCATTGACACCTGTGAACACATTGTTAAAAAAAAAATCTGCTTTACAAATTAAATTGAACAAAAACAAAACAAAATAACAAGTGCTGAGCAATGATTAACCACATCCAAAATAAAAGCTTGTATTAATATTAAATGTGAGTGTACATGAGAAATTATTTAGATCTATGTATACATATACATGTACAGATTATACATTTAAATATCTGTAAATATTAGAGCAGTGGTGAACATTCAAATGTGAATTTTCAAAATGCACCATTTTTATATGAATCTAGTTAACTAGATGGTGCTGTAGGCTAGTTCAGAACAGCAGATGGCGCTCTGGGCTAATTCAGAACTGTAGACATCGCTCTAGGCTAGTTCAGAACAGCAGATGGCGCTCTGGGCTAATTCAGAACTGTAGACGTCGCTCTAGGCTAGTTCAGAACAGCAGATGGCGCTCTGGGCTAATTCAGAACTGTAGACATTGCTCTAGGCTAGTTCAGAACAGCAGATAACGCTCTGGGCTACTTTAAAACTGCAGACGGCACTCTAGGTTAGTTTAGAACAGCACACGGCGCTCTAGGCTAATTAAGAACCGCAGATGGCGCTCTAGGCTAGATTTGAGATGCTCTAGGCTAGTTTTGAACACCAGGGGGCACTCTAGGCTAGCTTTAAACACCAGATGGCACTCTGGGCTAGTTTTGAACAGCAGATGGCGCTCTGAGCTAGATTTGAACACCAGGTGGCGCTCTAGGCTAGTTTTTAGACGCTCTAGGCTAATTTTGAGAGACTCTAGGCTAGTACAGAACAGCAGATGGCACTCTAGGCAAGTTTAGAACTGCAGACTGTGCACTTGGCTAGTTTAGAACCACAGATGGCAGCGCTCTAGGCTGGTTTAGAGCAGCAGATGGCGAAAAAGAAAGGGTTGTGAACACCAGATGATACTCTGGGCTAGTTTTGAACAACAGATGGTGCTCCAGGCTAGTTTTAAGATGATCTAGGCTAGTTTTGAACATCAGATGATGCTCGAGGCTAGTTTTGAACAGCAGATGATGCTTTAGGCTAGTTTTGAGATGCTCTAGGCTAGTTTTGAACCGCAGATGGTGCTCTGGGCCCGTTTTGAACACCAAATGGCGCTCTGGGCTAATTTTGAACAGCAGAAGGCGCTCTGAGCTAGTTTTGAGACGCTCTAAGACTAGTTATTGAACAGCAGATGGTGCTCTGGGATAGTTTTTAACACCAGATGGCGCTCTAGGGTAGTTTTGAGACGCTCTAAGACTAGTTTTAAGCACCAAATGGCGCTCTGGGCTAGTTTTGAACACCAGATGGCGCTCTAGGCTAGTTTTAAACTGCAGATGACGCTATAGGCTAATTTTGAGGCGCTCTAGGCTAGTTTTGAACACCAGATGCCACTCTAGGCTAGTTTTAAACAGCAGATGATGCTCTAGGCTAGTTTTGAGACGCTCTAGGCTAGTTTTAAACAGCAGGTGACGCTCTAGGCTAGTTTTGAGACGCTCTAGGCTAGTTTTGAACACCAGATGCCACTCTAGGCTAGTTTTGAGACGCTCTAGGCTAGTTTGAAACACCAGATGGCGCTCTAGGCTAGTTTTGAACAGGAGATAGCACTCTAGTTTATAAAGCATACAGCGCCCCTGATTTCTTGAATTTCACAGCTCTAGTAAATTTTTCTGCCACACCTCTAGTAAATATTATTCATTTGTATAGAATTTGTTTCATGTATGTGTGTATTTATATATAAATCTATGATAAATGTACATAACACTTACATATATTTAATGTAAAAACAAACTATAGTTTTGGACTAAATTAATCATTGCCCAGCAATAAAAACATAATGATGTCACAGAGACGCCGTCCAGTGTTTCCGCACATGCTCAGTCGAGCTCCGGGTTACGTGCATGTACAAAAGTAGAAAAATATAAGGAAAGCAGAGAACAGAAGTGTGTGTGTGTGTGTGGCTTTTTTCGAACGATTGCAGGAAAGTGAAAGTAAAGCACGGGTGAGCAGTTCCAGGAGATCCAGTGCTGGGAAAGCAGCCGTCAAGCATTGATGTTTTACTACAGCAGAAAAGCTTCTCCTTCGTCATCTTATTGACATGCAAGTCATTTTGAACGTGTCCATACAGTGTAACAGTCAACAAGGCGATGCTCCTCCATCAGGATTATGTGTTTGTCGTCAATCATTTGACTCCTTCATTCATTTGTTCCCAAACTCCCATCAAAAACGTGACTAAAACCAGGCTGCAGATGCGAGTAAAAGGCTGCATCACCACCATGTGAAGAACGGTCTTCTGCTCTGGAAGCTCTGCGTGTAGGATTCGCTGTTGGCGCGCTGTGGCACTCGGGCCGTCTCCACAATCACAGGCGGCATCTGCACCAGCTGGAGCGGCGTCTTCCCGTCCCGCATCGCCTGACTGAGGTTCAGGATCTGGAGGAGCGCAGGACAAACATCTCACTGGCTGGTTTTTATTGGATCTCCCTGCTCTCTATTAATACTTAATTGTGTGTGTGTGAGTGCACTTGTTTTTATATCCCAGTGGGGACTTGAGGTACAGCTTCGAGTCAGATTGGATCTGTCTGAGTTATTGGGCGTGGCTCCCATACTTAACCACGCCCCTCCAGCTGTCAGTTTTAATAACAAACAGAAATGGTGAGGAGGAGGAGTCTGTTAGTTTGTAATAACATTTTCCCCCATCTTTCTGAATAAAATGCCTACTTTACTAGATCCAATTAGATCACAGTAGGAAAAAACACAAGCCACGCCCACTGCTTTCTCATTTAATTATCGGTTTCTCTTGAAAATGGGTCACAATACGTAATGATATAAAATAAAATGGCCGCAGCTTTCGGTTCTATGTGTACTTTAAACCTGAATGCACACAGACTCATGGGGACCAAAATTGAGGTCCCCATAGGTAAACATGCTTATAAATCAGACAGAATGAAGTATTTTAAAAATGTAAAATGCAGTGAGGGTTGTGTTTAGGGGTAGGGAGATATATGATTTGTATAACAGAACCATCATTGTGTCTAGGAGAGTCCCCAGCGAGATACAGGAACACTGTCTGTGTGTGTGTAGTGAAAGCAGTTTAACAAAAGTGAAAGTAACATCCCAGAAAGAGAAGATGTAAGACGTTTCTCTGTGTGTATTATAAGAGTCATCAGGAATAAGAGATGCTATGTGTGTTTATTCAGCTATAAGTGATCATGGTCATTCATTACAGTTCTGTGATGTATATAGTTTGGTCTAATTGTGGAACAGTTTTGGAAACGTGAATCCATTTTGATGTGAATAAGTGAAAGGAAATGCATTTCATGTGTGTGTGACACCTCATGATCAAATGGAGTCTGATAAAATGAATTCATAACAACATTCAAATGATCTTTTCTAATGCAAATCAAAAGAAAATACAACAATGAGTCTAAAGTGAAAGTGAAAGTGACATGTGGCCATGTATGGAAACCTGAACTCTGTAAATACACACCACCCCTGGAGCAGTGCACACAACAAACATTTATAACAAAGCAAACAAGATAAAGAGATTCATTGTTCTGGAGTGTGTTGTAGGACTTCACTCTCCATTGGTAAGTTTAGAGCTGCCTCCCTGGAGTGAGGTTTTTAAAACAGCTTTAGAACTTTAGCATGTATTCCATTTCAGTTTCCATGGCGATCAAGGAAGAGTGGCCAATCTGACATTCTAAACTGCAAACATTCTAAATCTCATATGTGGAACAGAACTCCCACTAGGGCTGGGTGATTAGGCCTAAAATCAAGATTAACTGAACATTTTAACTCGATTATGATTAATAAGCCATTATTTTATTGATTCATAAACGTTTTTAACAGTAAATATGCTCATACTACAAGTAAGAGATTTTTGAATGAAGGGTGCATTACTTGATTTTAAAATGACTGAAGGAAACACACTATCTACTATCTATGATTATTTATTGAACATCAAAGTTGAACCACTGAAATTAAACACACACTGCCTAAAACCAACAGTCAAATAATAAATAAATAAATAAATGACTTTTGGAAACAAAATTAATTATTTTCAATGTTCATTGTTTAATTAAAGGTAAAAAGTAAGCAGTATCTCCTGTAAATAAAATATTTTCAACAGTGCGTTTCTTGCACCTGTAAACAAATATTTTAATGAAAATAATAATTATTTTATTGTAATGGAAACTCTGGCTCTGGTGCAGCTTCCAATCATCATCAATGTAGTGCAAACTTGCAACAAGTAGTTACATTTTTTTGAGAGGTGCATGCGTATGCGACAGCATAAGGGCTGCACCAGACCATACCTGTGCATTCGAAGCAGAAGTATAAATCAGCCCTAACAGAGCGGGGTCATGTGACTCCATTTGCAGTAGGGTAAGTAATAGAAAAAATTCACATGGAAAAACTTGATCGATTATAGCTTCTGAATGTCAATTTTAATTACTTTGATTAATTGCTCAGTCCTAACTCCCACCAGTACAGAAATAACAATCCTATTATATAGCAATAGAGCCTCTATAGCAAAACATTGCATCTTTCTTTTTATAAAATAAGGTACTACATGCCGGATGATGAAAACCAAAAACTGGAAATTAAAATGTAGATGAAAAGATATCAAGGTAAAATAATTATGCTCTAACATCCCTTAATTAACAACAATTAAATTTGACTTTAAATGACAATTATGTTTCTGGCTTAATTTACTGACTAATAAGTGAAACTTCATTATTTATTCATGGATTCACTTACTTTTATAATAATTCATAATTTATCAGCGTGCATTTGATGGGAGCTTTTCACAAGTAAAACACTGGCGACAATATATTAAATTTTGTTTGATAAACATCAAAATTGCTGTACAGTCCATCCCTGTTGTTAAAAATCTAACGTTAATGCTTTCAGAGTGTTTAAAGAGGAACATTAATAATGACTCACCTGACCCCTCATTACCGAGACCTGCTTCTTGAACTGTCCTCTGTCAAAACCTGGATCTTTCTGTCAACGTCAATGTAAATATATATAGTCAACACTGAGCATTCATATACAAATAATAAAACACTGAATATCAAATTAATCTCCATGACTCGCCTTAAAAAGCTCATAGAGATCTTCTTCGAGGTCTTTGATGAAGTTCGGGTCTGCTAATTTAGGCAGAACTAAATCTCGGATCTCTTGGGAAAACACAACTTTAGCCTGTGGAAGCCAGGCCCAGTAAAACGGGTCTGCAGGAAACACATTCAACAACAAAAAACGATTAAAAACTGCAACAAACTAAACCTCATTACAAATGATTGCAACTATGAATTATGTATTTAACATTAAAGCACTTGGCTTACAGGCTCTCCATGAGTCTGGGTGTTTGAGAGGGAAGGCCAGACCATTGTCGATGGCTGCCAGTTTAATGATGGGGTCCTTCACTAACACCCAATCACTGTCCTGTATGATGAAATAAATTATTATTATTAGGCACAAACAGAATATTTAGACTAAAAATCTCTCAAAGCAGCAGGCGGCCACTCACCCTGTTGCTTGAGGTATCCATCGGATAATCATATTTTATGAGCCAGTTGTCATTTCCTCGATCTACAGAAATACACATACACAAATAACGAGGTTTAAAATGAGGACCAGACCAGAACAATTCATCCAAGCATTATTTACAGTGTCATAGACTATGGGTTAAATGTATTTCTGCCAATTTGATATGACCTTTATTCAGTTAGCGAGTGGTTTTGGTGGTTACCCGTGTTTCTGATGATGTAATCCAGCACCACCAGTCTCTCGAACTGCAGCTGAAGTTGACGATTAGTGTTTTCTGGTAAAGGCTCTGCCTCGAACCGCCGCAGCCAGAAATCTGCATCTTTATAACCTTCTACGAAAATCTGGAATGATCCCACCTACAACAGGCAAGAAAAAAAGATTTCACAAACCTACAACAGCCAACAACAGCTAACAACAGCTAATAAAAACCTACAACAACCAATAGAAATGAGTTTGCAAACCCACAACAGCAAATAGCATCCTACAATAGCCAATATAAAAGAGGAAACAAACCTACAACAGCCAAGGGAAACCAACAATAGCCAGTAAAAACCTACAACAGTCAAGAGAAATAAGTTTGCAAACCTACAACAGCCAATAAAAATCAAAGATAGCCAATAGAGATCAACAACAGCCAAAGGAAACCAATAACAGACAACAGAAATGAGTTTGCTAACCTACAACAGCCAACTGAAACCAACGTCAGCCAATAGAGACATACAACAGGCAATAGAAACAAAAACACCCAACATAAATGAGTCTGCAAACTTACAGCAGCCAATAGAAAACCAACAACAGACAACAGAAACCAAAAAGAGCCAATAGAAATATGTTTGCAACAATAACCAACAGAAATCAATGACAGCCAAAAGAATTGAGTTTGCAAACCTACAACATCCAGTGGAAACCAATGACAGCCAACAGAAACCAACAACAGCCAATAGAAATAGGTTTGCAAACCTGCAACAGCCAATAGAAACCAGCAACAGCCAATAGAAATCAATAGCAGCCAATAAAAATCAAATTACGGCCAATAGAAACCTACAACAGCCAATAGAAACTAACAACAGCCAATAGAAATGAGTTTGCAAACCTACAACAGTCAATGGAAACCAGCAATAACCAATAGAAATCAATAGCAGCCAGTAAAAACCTAAAACAGCCAATATAATCCAACAACAGCCAATTGAAACAGGTTTGCAAACCTACAACAGCCAATAGAAATCAATGACAGCCAATAAAAACCTACAACAGCTAATAGAAACCAGCAACAGCCAATAAAAATCAATGACAATGACAGCCAATAGAAACCAACAACAGCCAAAAGAAATGTGTTTGCAAACCTACAACAGACAATACCACCCAACAGCCAATAGAAACCTACACCAGCCAATAGAAAGCAGTTTGCAAACTTACATCAGCCAATAGAAATGGGTTTGAAAACATATTTTAGCCAATAGTAATGAGTGTGCAATCCCGTCTTAGCCAATAGAAACATGCTCACAATCCCATGTTAGCCAACAGAAATTAACCTGAAATCCTGCACTAGGCAACAGAAATGATGAGTCCTCAAAAGCCCATTAAAATAAATTTCTAAGACATACATTCATAAAAACTACAATAGTTAAATCAAAACTTAAAGTTAATATAAAAAAAACATAAATAAATAAAACCAACTAAATATATTGATATAACAGCATTTTAATCATCATAAAATTACTGTGTAACATCCAAATAAATCAGTTTAATAATTCCTCCAGGCAGATAGGTGGCACTGTGATGAACCTTACCTTAGGTGGCAGGCCGATCCGGTGGAAACGTTGGCCCACTTTGGGCACTTTTTCTAGAGCTAACCTCTTTCCTCGAGACTTCACTCGATCAATGGCACTGTAATTAAAGGTTTCACTTGCTAAATAAACCACCTGACAGAAACAGAGCACAGAGAACACTTCAATTAATACACATCTCTCAGTAGCAAGCAATAGTGATGTAGCAAACATTTGCGGTTGATTAGCTTGTTTTAATAACAGGAAACGAAACTGGTTGACTAACACATACAAAACCTTCTCACGTCCTCATTCGTCTTGATTTTGGATTCATGCTAGATGTTGCTCTCTTACCTTTGTGCGCGGCACAATGTTGAGTTCTAGTTTCTGGTCCACTAAACTGGCTCCGGCCTCTGATAGATAACCCTGATTCAGAACCAGGCAGTCGCGGCCGAAGCAGCACGGACAGCACAGCTTCTGAAGCCATTTGGTCCATTTGGGGTTCAGCTGGCCGTACGGCTCTTCATTCTTTGGTTTGAAGACTCCGATGATCTTCTGTTGGAGAAAATAGATGACATTTGAGGTCTGATTACCATAAGACTGCTTAAACATATGGGTGATTAGCATTATTTTGACTAGCAAATCAAGTTTGGTGTCCCTTCAGTGACATACAGGTTACATATTTGGGCTAATTTGGGTTAATTTACGTCCTTGAGGAATGTTGTGAAATAAATAAAGTGAAATTGAAACATCTCACATTTCAGACCAAACATCACACCATGTGTTTTCTGCACTGTAAATCCTTCACTAGAGATTGTGAATGAACTGCACTACACTAGTTAGGATTTTAACATTATTTACAACTTATTTTATTGCTTTGATTAATTATATTGTTGTCATTTTTAATGCAGTTTGAATAGAGTCTGGCAGATTAATAAATCTACATATTTAACGAACAAATCAATCTCAGAATACAGCACAAACTCTATTGGCCATGCCAGTTTAAACAGTGACGATTTTATTTTTATTTTTTAACCACTTGTACACAATCCATCAAAGGTTAGGAGAATATTTTAATATTATTTTTATTAATATATTAATTTTTATATATTTATATAAATGAAAAACTTATAATAACTAATTAATTACTAATTAATAATTGATTAAGGAAGAGTGTGAAAACATTTAGAACAGTTAACCTTTCACATTTTTATTTCTGTTTGTTTTAAGTCCTGGTTAAAATATACAATGGTTTTTACCACTTAATTGGTATTACTATTACTACCATTACTATTACTACTATTACGACTTTTACTATTACGAATATTACTATCATTACTATTATGAATTTTACTATTACGACTATTATTATTATTATTACTATAACTACTATTACGACTTTTACTATTACGACTATTACTATTATTACTATAACTACTATTACGACTTTTACAACTACAACTATTACTATTATTACTATTACTACTATTACGATTATTACTATTATTACGACTATTTCTACTATTATTACGACTATTACTATTTTTACTAATACTACAATTACGACTACTACTATTACTACTATTATGACTATTATTATTATCACTATTACTACTAGTACTATTAACTATTACTACTATTATGACTATTACTATTTTACTATTATTACTATAGCGACTATTACTATTATTACTATTACTACTATTAATATTACTACAATTACTATTATTACGACTATTTCTATTACTATTATTGCGACTACTATTATTATTACTTACTATTATTATGACTATTACTATTAATACTATTACGACTATTACTACCATTACTGCGACTATTACTATTATTACAATTACTATTACTACTATTATTGTTACGTCTATTATCTATTACAACTAATACTATTATCATTTCTATTACTATTACTACAATTACTACTATTACAACTATTACTATTAACTATTATTAACTATTTTAACTACTACTACTATTGTTAACAATAAATGTTTCTTAGACAGCAAATCAGCATAATAAGAATAATTTCTAAATATATTTATGTTTATATCATTTTTTCATTTTATTAGTATTACTCAACTTTGATCTTAGAAATTAGTACAATTTGAAAACTATAATATTTTTTTTATTTTGAACTGTAATAATATTTACCATTTTTACTTTATTTTTCACCAAACAACTGGAGGCAGACATCCTTTCAAAAACATTAAAATTATTTTAAGCAGCCCAGCAATTTTACACCCAATAAAGTAACCAAATTATTTTTGTTAGACACATTTACTGATTTCCTCATCTAAATGTGACCTTTAACAGAGTCCACATTGGGTTTCAGTGACTCATCGCTGATCTGATTTTTGACGCGAATGAGAAATCGGTCCAACACACCACCTGACCACACATGCGGTCATGTGCCTAATGACTCATGTGAGTCGCCTCACTAGTGAACAGCTTACAGCGTGCTCACTGTCGAGAGCTTGCGTTTAAGACCAGACAGAGAAACTAAATCAATTAAATGACACAAAAGACCCCACCAGAGCCTCAGAATAGATCAGATCCGCCTCCTTTAGGATGACCTGAGCAGCAAAATTGTCACGCATATCACTCCGACTAATGATCATGTGGAGAATGATTGAGACACAAGCACACTTTTGCCAAATTAAGCAGAATGACTTTGTGAATTAAAAATGGGTTCGTTTTCAGCTTGTGCTCAAATAGAAATGGTGGATTTTAGTGATTTCTGAAAGATTTAGTCCTCTTTCAATCACTCAACTCTTAAAACGACACTATGATTAAACCACAACACAATGTGTAGGACTCAAAATATAAACTCCTGCTGAAAATAAGTAGTTCATGATTCAGATTGACTAAATTGTGCACCCCTGATTAAACAGGGGTGCACAAACTTTTTCTTATGAAGGGCCAAAAACCAAACTCGTAGTAACTTTCTAATTTAAAACCATTTAAAAATATACAGATAAAATACTTTAACCTCATTTAAAATTATATCTATTTTTTACATCTTATAATGTACTTCTTACAATAAAACCATAAACAATATCATTTATAACATATTGAAGTTCAATGTTTTTTTATTTTTTATTTACAAAAATAATCAATTTTCCCCCGATAAATTTTCCCACGATATGTGTCCTATTTTTGTTTTTAGCATCGTGCCACACATACATATCTGTCAATATCTGTTAAAAAAAAGGGTTTTAGGGTTTCATGACACTTTAAAAAATCTGATTACTTCCCAACATTGCATTAAAACATTCAATTTCAGTTTTGCTTTTTTTGTAGTTCAACAATATAAACAAACAAGCAAAAGATGATGTTCAATTAGAAAGGATGATCTCTGTTTGGGGTATTCACCTCAACCTTCCCCATCATCTGTTTATCTCTTCTCTGATTGGTTGGGGAGCCAAATCAAAGGTTACCATGGGGCCAACTTTGGCCCGCAGGCCCAAGTTTGGGCATTTTTGGGTTATAGGTACAATATGTAATATTTTTTTCATTAATATATCTAATAAACCACTAGAACGGTGTTTTTATATATACATATATATATATATATATATATATATATATATATATATATATATATATATATATATATATATATACCTTAATTATCCCAAATAATAAAAAGAATGATCAATTTCAGAGAAAAAAAAAGCAATTTTAACTAGCATTCGAAGTGTGTGTGTTCATGCTAATGACGTCACACACTCAATTTTCTGGTTTTGTAAAAAATAGGGCAAAAACAGCAGTGTGGCTGTAATATGTTGTGTGTTTTATCTAACTTCACAGAGCAGCATTATAACAGAGGCCTATTGACCTTATTCTAAAATGCGGAAGTGCGCCTGTTTTTGCGATTGTCTTAGAACTTCCGATTCAGTCGCCTATGGTAGAAATGACTAGGAATAATAAACGGCAGAAAATGGCCAAACTACTTGCTCAACAAACAAATGTTTGCATGACTACACAGACCAAGTAGCATAATATAATAGGAAAATATTAAATTGCAACATCAAGCAGCGTAACGAGCAGTATTTAACATCAAAAAATGAATGGAAGTGAATGTGACCGGAAGTTGCGAGACAAAAAGATTCAAATCGCAGCGCCCACTCGACAGCTGAGAATAAGGTGAATAATGTGTTTAGTTTTTAGTTTATTTACTGGTGGACTGTGGCATAATAAAAGCTTTGCTGCTTTTGTGCACCGAAGCTTTGCTCTGCTCCATATTACCATAATAATAAGTGTTGAATACTTTAAACATTAATCAACATGATGTCTGCAGGAGTCCTGTAGGACAATAAAGACTGCAACTTCCATGATTCGGCGACATATGGTGCAGTAGCATGTCAGGGCGTCCTGAGATCGAGTCCCGGCTCGAGGACATTTCCCTGCCCTACCCCCTGTCTCTCTCCAATTTTGCTTCCTGTCTAAATACTGTCCTATCTAATAAAAAAAGGCAAAAAGGCCAAAAATAAATCTTAAAAAGCCCTTTGTTTGTTGTTAATACACGCCCTCTAGTGGCCTAAATTACATACTTTGCCTTTAATTCATACTGTATGCCTTTCCGGCCAACATTTCAATCACTTTTTAACTTGAAAGCTGCTAAAATGCGCTTTCCACTTTCTACGCACAAGTGTTATTATTGATTTTATTATTATTGCAGTCTTTTTACTTGTTTTAATCTCTTCTTGTTACTACTGTTGTTGTTTTAGACACATATGACGGCACTGAAAGGAAGGGCAAACGTAAATTGCTTTGTATTTTGTGCAATGACAATAAAGAGTCTGATAACTCCATCTTTTTTCCATAAAGGTTACTGTCAAAGTCATGAAACGGCAGATTTGCTCAATTCTGCTGAAGAGGCACTGGAAAACAATCCGTCTAGTCTGTGATAAAAGCATTCAATTCAACCTCTGAGTGCTCGTATCTCCAGATCTGCGGTTTCGAAGTCCTTTAGAGTTCAAGACACTGTGGTTTGCCATTGCATCTGCTCAATGAATGAAAGCCAGAAGTACTCGTCACACACGACACAGACATAATCACTGAAGTCATATGGCAGAATTAGGCCGCTTAATGCATGTGACAGAACTAAAGCATCACAGACTGTGACTCTCATTGCTTTTCCAGGATTGCATCATCAGTATGTGCTGGAGAAATGGCCACGATTACTACAACACACTGCAGCGCTTCTGTATTTCAACAAACTGCAAGCATCAGTTAGTCTGAATAATGATCAATGATGATGACGTTAGTCTTAAAGCTGATAAAGCGCCGCCTATCAATGAGCAAACAGCCTGAAAGCGATTAATATTCTGTCTGGATAGGCTGCTGATTGGGTTTGGGGTGGAAAACTACTCTTGTGTAGTTGGAAGTGTTTGGACTTTCAGCAGTGAAAATTAAACCACACTGAACTGAACTAAACTGAACTTCAACTCTGAACACTGGACGAACAGTTTCAGTTTACTACAACTTCTATGTTAAGCTGCTTTTACACAATCTACATTTTGAAAGTCCTATAGAAGTTGTGGGAATATAAATTTATATAATCTAATTTCAATTGAACAATAATCTACATATAACAGAAAAGTTCTATGCTTTGGTTTTTGATTATATCATTTTATTAACAGCCCAGCCATGAGAGATATTAACCTTTGTCTTTCTGACTACAGGCTAAGCCAAAGTGATGCAAATGCTTCAAACCTGTGGTTCTCAAAGTGGGGGTCGGGACCCCCTGAGGGGTCACGGGACAATGAAGGGGGGTTGCCTGGTGATTTCCAGAGATCTGTTTATTTTTATTAAATCATAAGAATTACCATATTTTATCCATAACCTACTGAAAAAAATAGTTGTTTATAGTTATTATATACTAGATCGTAGCTTATAGTTGCTAGTTCTATTGGGGGCGAAGCAGTGGCGCAGTAGGTAGTGCTGTCGCCTCACAGCAAGTAGGTCGCTGGTTCGAACCTCGGCTCAGTTGGCATTTCTGTTGGAGTTTGCATGTTCTCCCTGCGTCCGCGTGGGTTTCCTCCGGGTGCTCCGGTTTCCCCCACAGACCAAAGACATGCTGCAGGTGAATGAGCTAAATCTAATTCTAATGAACTAAATCTAATAATAAAATAAACGTAAAAAAAATTAAATGTTCTCTTTAAAAATTTGCTGTATCAGCATTGCTAAAAATAAATCTGAAAAAAGGCAAAAATAATTTAAAAATAGGAACGAAAAATAAAAAAAAACATTAAAAAAACACTCATCTAGGCCTATGCGATTAATTGAAATGTTGCAATTAGTTAATTTCAAGAGGCTTCAATAAGATATATATATATATATAATTTTATTTCCGCTCACCAAGAGCAAATGTGTGACTGTTGGCTGTGTGTGACAGTCTTACTGACCCATTGAGTAAGCACACTTTTGTTCTGCCCACTCAGACATGCGCAACCGAACTACGCGCACAATAAAACAAAGAAAACAAACACAAAAGCGCTGACCAGTGAGATTATGTCGTCTGCCGCTTCAGAAGCATTCATAGACAAATTAATACTAAAGAAAATCGGCATTTGTAATATGGGAATATTTTGTTTTCAAAGTCACAGACACCAAACAAAAAACAGGTCATTTTTAGGAGCTGTCGCAGAATTGTTGTCAAGGCTTACAGAATATGGTGCTGAAGCTTGACTACAAAATTAAATCGTTAATAAAATCGCAATATCTGTCAAAAAATAAATAATAATCAATTTTAAAAATTTATATTTTCCCAAAATCGCACAGCCCTACTCTCACCCCTGTAAATATTATAGTAGTATACAAATATTTTCTGGTAGCTTTACATGATGCATCTCTTCTCATTTCCACATTTGGGAACTTCTGACAGGCAACGATAACTATTACAACTACAACTTCATACACTTATTCATTTTCCTTCAGCTTAGTCCCTTATTTACCAGGGGTCACCACAGCGGAATGAACTGCCAACTATTCCGGCATATGTTTTACACAGCGGATGCCCTTACAGCTGCAACCCAGTACTGGGAAACATCCATACACACTCACACACACACACACAGATTCATACACTACGGCCAGTTTAGTTCATGCAATTCTCCTATAGAGCATGTGTTTGGACTGTGGGGGAAACCAGAGCACACAAAGGAAACTCACGCAAACGCAGGGAGAACATGCAAACTCCACACAAAAATGCTAACTGACCCAACTGGAACTCAAACCAGCAACCTTCTTTCTGAGGCGACAGCGCTAAAAGCAGAGCCACTCAACATCAACTTAATGTAGAGTAATATTAACAAATGCAGCATTACCATAAGGTCAACAGTGTAATAACAAATTGCTAATCAAGTCAAATACAACCTTTCTAAGGGATATCATCCTTGTTTTAAAGGGACAGTTCACTCAATACTAAAAATGTGCTCATTTACTCACACTCAAGTGATCTGCTGAACACAAAACAAGATTTCCTGAAGAATGTTGAAAGGAAGAAAGCAGCCATTGACATCCAGAGTAGAAACTAAATATACTATGAAAGTCAACGGCTGTTTTTCTTAGAAACACTCTTCATTTCATATTCCTTTATGTTTAACAGAGGAAAGGAACTGGTTTGGACCAAGTAGAGTATGAGGAAATGGCAGAACAGTCAGTTTTGCATGAACTATACCTTCCCTTTAAGGTTTTCTTATAGTGTATCTGCTATCTGTGTATGCAAATCTGTATGAATATGACCCCAGTCACAACAAGATAAACACACATCTCTATAGCTCACTTTAGAAAGTGCCAGTAAGGCTTTTGTTCATTGATCAAAGACCTAATGAGCTGCCTACCTAGGCATCAAGCCCAAAAAATGCTATCTCAGTTGTTATCTACAATGCAGCCCTGATAAAGCCTGCTCTCTAATAGCTGTGTACAATGACAAAGCAATGTCAACAAGGCACATTTAGCAGGTTTTCTTCACATATTAATGACTCAGTTCTATAATAATCCCTTGCTTGCCTGTAAAACTAAAATATGTACACCTAAAATAGATATAAGTGAACAAAATTAATAGTTATCTTAAAATAAAATAAATAAAATAACCACTGGCTTATTTGTGAGTCTGGTAAACTAAAATATGTACACCTAATGTAGTTATAATTCAGCAAAATGAATAACTATGTTAAAATAATACTCTCAATGTCACACTCACGTAGTTACAATACATACAAATACGTAAATAAAACAAACACATTGGTGCTCTGCATAACTCAAGGCCTGTTCTGATGACACAGCTGTGACTGAATTGAGGAAAAGTTGGTTTTAAATTCACACATTCAGACTTTCTCTTTAATAATAGAGTTTCAGAAATGTGTTATTTGGTAAGTCTAAATAGAAAAATCAAAGTACAACATAATTCACAGTCAAATAGTGCTAATATTGTTTTGAAGTCAAACTAGCATGCTATTTTCACCTGATGCTCCAGGGTTGTATACGGTCTCGCTGGTGGAGATTTGATTAATTGAGGTAAAGTCGGTCTTATATTCGCACAACCAGTCTTTGGTGTTTTCTGTTGTGGATTTAGTTATCGTTGAAGACTATTTGGTATTTCAGTCATCCTACAGTAGAAATCCTTCATCTTCTCATCAGTGATAAGCAGTCTAAACCATCTGAGTCATTGCTTGTACAGATTTTGGACATCTTCTTGGACACTTTTATGATGCTTTCAAACGGTTTGGTGCATTTAAAAAGCGTCCATGTCTTGAGGTTGTATAATATGATGCTGTTTACCGTCTATGTGTGATTTGATTGGACTGGACAGGAACTGCAGGACTGATTTTCTGACAAGCAGAACAATTTTTGACAAGAAAAAATAGTGACTGCAGGTTGAAGGAAAGTAGTGGAGTAAAAGTACAGATACTGCAGTAAATATGACTGAGGTAAAGTTAGTTTTATATTTATTCACACATTCAGACTTTAATATTATAACTTTCTGTGTGTGTATTTATATATATATATATTGACTATCAAAGTACAACATTGTCCACAATTAATTAAACAGCGCTAATGTTATTTTCAAGTCATCATAGCCTACTTACATGTGAATTCAGACCGAATATTCAAAGTACCATGGTAAACAATATATGGAGCATGTCACTAGGGATGCAATGATTAACCGGTTTCACTATTAACCGTGATTTAATTTGTCACGGTTAATTAATCGTAAAGGCTTCTCAACACTGTTTTTGAACGGAACAAAAATGCAGCAACTAAACAAAGTTTTGCCAACTGTGGCATAATAACCACACACACTGGACTAACTATGACTGAGGCTATTATTTAAGGCAAGCTACTTCAAGTTCATTATTTCCAATGGACATAACGCACATAATGCAACGTGTTCACACTTTCAGGCGCACCTAGTTGAGATTTTGAGACCGCTGGAACTGCATATGGCTGAAGTTTGAGGAAGAACCAATGAAAAGTACACAGGTTTGCAAACCTACTTAAAGTTACAAATAATGGTGCCGGTGAGAAAGATCATCCTCCAGCCGAAATTAATCGAGTATTTTCTTAAAAGTAGCATTTTTACTTAATAAAAGCATCAAAAATATCCACAGATTTTTATATAGCCATTAAAATGAACTTTTAAAACGGCAACAAACATGTATTTAAACCTGAACCGCAAAACCAAATTTAAAATAATTTTAGTTTTAAACTAGTGGGCTTTTGAAATCACTGAATGCGAATAATAATCGTGATTATTTCTTGGACTATAATCGCACAACCAAAATTTATAATCGTTGCATTCCTACATGTCACAAGTTGTCACTGAACGAATGTGGGAATATAAAACCAACTTTACCTCAATGTAAATATGTATTCAAGGGAAAGTAAAAGTAGTTCACATTTTTAAAACTACTTAGTGAACTTCAATTTCTGAAAAAAACTACTCAATTACAGTAATTTAAGTATCTATAATGTTACTTTACACCACTGACGTTGATAGTCACAGCTAATTTGATTTTCCTTATTCAGAATTTGCAAAGAATATTTTACTGAAAATATATTTGAGCTTTTACCTCAATGAATGCTTTATCCTAAACTATATTAAGAAGATTTAAGTCTAAATGTGCGCTTATAAAACAGATTTCACCTCAATATGACACAGCAGTAACTGTTACTCTTCACACACACTAAGATCCACAAGTAAACAAAGACCAATAAAATACACAATACAACTCCTTAAAGGGACTTTGCACATAAAACTGATTCTCCAGGGTTGTGTAATTCAGGCCTTGCTGATTGCTGTTTGATGAACTCTTACCCCTGCTGAATCTTTGACGAAGTAGCTGCCGCTGGAGCCCTGGTAGATGCGCTCCGGGTAAATGCCCTCCTCGATGGCCCGCTCCGCCTTCCGGATGATCTCCCGAAACTCCGGGTCCTCTGGGAACTCGTTCCTGTGCGGATCCCGGGGAGACGCGCCTCGATCTCGGTCTAGCAGCGGCTGTCTTTCGCGGCTGCGCCCGGGACTCCCTGCCGGAAGACGCACTACTGAGCCCGGTGTACTTCCAAATCCACCCCGGGGACTGGTCGGCTCTGCGGGCCCGTAGTTAAAATCGTTGGAATCGCGGAGCGGCGAGACTAGCGGGCTCGTTTCGTCCATGGCGGAGTAGGGAGAGAGTGGGTAAAGGGGGAATTTACCCGGGACAAGCGCCTGTTTGTTGCCGTAATGAAATGATGCGGCTCTTTACAGCAGATCGCCAACAAACAATCACATGACAGTGTCCTGCTTCCGGATAGAGGCGGCGCCAGTGCGTGATCTCAATGCCACTGGCCAATAGGTGCTCGAAAACGCGCTTGTTTTTCCATATGTGCGCAGCGATTGGCTGGAAGTGCACCACCCATAGTGAGCATGTGACAAAGCACAACATCACTCGAGTTAATGCGCCGCGACATAAAATAAAGGCGTTCAAACAGAGATCATTAGCAGAAATCATGCTCTCTGAATACTTTATATTAATGTGCAAGACTGAAATGAGTACTAGAGGAAATAATTTTGTATTTCCATATACTTATTTTCAATTTTAGACATCACATTTAACAAAATTAACAATTCCATTGGAATTTCTCTTTTAAAATAAAATAATACACAATTGCAAACAATAAAACACCCCATATGAAAAAATATAGTAAATAATCTAGTGTTTTTTTAAACTTTGCTAACCTTAAGTGTCATTTTTTTATTTTCCTTCGGCTTCAATCCTTTACTCATCAGGGGTTGCCACAGCGGAATGAACCACCAACTATTCCAACGTACGTTTTACGAAGCGGATGCCTATCCAGCCGCAAATCAATACTGATAAACTACACTCTCACTTAGGTTGAGCCCTGGGTGCGCTGGGGCACTTCAGATCATTTTGGAAGGCCACTTTTTATCCAAGACTAAAAAGGCCATGTGCACTGCACAGGCAATGCTAACCATGCGAGTTTGTGTATTGTAATTTTTCTGTTGTGGTTTTCTGCAACTATACAAGATATACTATATAATACTATACTAAAATATACTATGCATTTATACTGCAACACACTAGTTTGTTTTAGTAATCACTGTACTAAAAGTAACAGTTTATCACTTCACTATAGTTAATAACGGAGTCATTAACGGAGTATTGTAGACTAAATAATTTCAGTATAATACACTCTACCATATGCTTCAAAAACACTACAGTACTATAAATTAATATAGTATTTTTCGCATGGGATGGGACCAATGGGACTGGCAGCCTGTCAGAATCCATCCTAATTTATTTTGAGCAATTTTTAAACCTTTAATATTTTCTGTTTTATGAAATAAGAAGTCATAAAAGAACTGCAACGTCACGCACAGATTCCTAAATTCAATTTTTTAGAATGCATGTTCTTTTAAGAGTTCCTTCTGTTCCATTTTGATGACGTGTTGTTTGGAAGTGATAAATAACCGGATGAGTCATGATTATAAGCGAAGAACAATTTAAAGGTCCTTGATCACACTGGATCATGGATTCTGACTGCTGCTGACTCTGCTAAGTTGTCCATGTACAAAAGTTTGGGTGGATATATTCAATACAATTTACTCAAATAGAATTTTGCGTCCCTCCAGACACATATGAAATATACTGACTTTAATAAGCTACGATGGATCATTGTGGATTCTGCTACCCATCTGCTACAGAAAATGAGCGGACATTTGCTTACCTCTGTGTTGATCCTTGTAAAAGGCATGTGTTTTGTACCACTCATTTGGTGTAGGGGAGTTTTGGGAAAATTGAGCGCCCTCAATTGATCTAAAACACTGACATAATTAGACAGTGCGCCTTTTCCATTTACATGCATTAACCAATCAGGGGAGGACAACATTTAATAAAAATGAATTGTTCAAATCACAATTTAAAGTTGATCATCATCATATTTTCTAGAATACTAATATACATTAGCAAGTTCAGTTCTGTTTAGTTCCATGTGCTTTAAACAATTCATTGTTCAAGTCTTTTCAAGTGAACTGTTTAATTCTTTTCAAGACATGATCAGTCTTCCTGAAGCAATCACAAAACTGGTTGTTCATTAGTAGCCCGAGTGTTGCGATGACAGAGCGTTATCATGGGCGGGGACGCGCCGCACGCCGCCGATCATATGAGCTTGTTGTAGCAACACGAGTTTCCAAGGCAAGCAGAGCGGAGACATGATGACACTCAGTGATGCACAGCTCATATGATATTTGACAGTGTTTGGGTCAGTTTGCAGCTCTGATTCAGCCCAATGGCCGGTGATGCGCTGGAGATTTGTGATCTGACAGCTGAAGACTCTTCCCCGGTCAACGAGCTCTCCTTCCGCCTGCAGAACCTCCAGTGTCAGGACGGGTGAGAGCAAGCATCCTTCTTAATCTTAATATTTAAAGAAGATAAAGTAATGCAATAAAATGATCTATTTTAAATGATGTGGCATTTTCAGGGATAGTTGCAAATGTTTATTTAAAAAAATAATAATTTAAAAAATATAATATTATAATTTTTATTATATATATATATATATATATATATATATATATATATATATATATATATATATATATTTTATTTTTTTTTTTTTGAATAATTTTTATTATTATTATTACTGATATATGCTTTGAACTTTTACTATATTTATTTATTTAATTATTTATTTAAATAAAACATGATATCAAATTGCTTATATTAATATTATTAATCACATTTTGCTCAATAAAATAAAAATAAAAATAAAAACATAGAGCAAATAGTAAAAAGTGTAATTAATATATATTAAAATAAATTAAAATAAAAAAATTATTATTCTTTCAAATTATTTTATTTTAATCTATAATAACCTCAAATAATCATTAAGTGATTGAATGTGTCATTATTATTTGCATAATTAATCAATTATTTCTCATAGGATTTATAAATTATTGTACATATTAAACAAGACCAGATAATTTTTTAATTAAAATATCTTTATAATTTATATTTGAATTGTTTAGGTAAAAATGACATTAAGGCATTATTTAAATCCAACTTTTTCCCTTTCCTGAACAAGAAAGTCACATTTATTTAAAACCATCCACAAATATTGATCAATGATTGGTTTCCATATGACAATAATAGTGATAATGTGACAAAAATGCATAAAAAATATATACATGTTAATGACACATTGCAAAAATGTGCAAAAATAAAATAAACTAAAACTGAATCCAACATCTAAAATATTCCTTATTAATGTTTTAAACTCATACAATTTATTTTTTTCTTCCTCAACACAAAAATAAATGATTTTTAAGATACACTTATCAATGATATCTGCTCACTATAAATACAAGATAAACTATTAATCAATCATTAAATGATCATTCCCATCAGTGTACTGGGATACATTTTTACTGAATTATTAAAATTGGGTTTATGTTTTAACTAATATCTGATGCATATTTTCATCTAGTCTGAGTCCAAAGCGCTCGACCCCCAGAAAGCTTGTTTTGACGCCTGAATGCATGAGTTCATCACTCAACACCCTCTCCAGGGAGAAAGAGACGCCAACAGGTCCTGACAAGAGCCTTGTCACACACACTCACACTCACACTCACACACACACACACACACACACACACACACACACACACAAACACACACACACACACACAGCTTAATTAAATCTCCGACAGGGACTCTTCAGGCTCCTTGTGTTTGCACATGTGACTCATTCGACTCATTCATTTTATGTTTGAAGATGAAATGTTTATGATTTATACCCAAGTTTAAAAAGTACTTTTGAAATTATTTAATAATTCTGATATATGATCTGATACATGTCTTATGTCTGCATGCATAAATTATGTTAATGTTATTTTTAACATTAACATAATTTATGCATGCAGACAGACATGATTCTTTAAACTTGCATTTTGCTTCTTAAAAATGAGCTTGTATTATATGTAGTGCTAAGCATATATGAGTACACCCTCACACATTTTAAATTCATATTTACTATAGGAAGCTTTACAATATTATATCCATACGGTTGAAGTCAGAATTGTTCGCCCTGCTTTAGAATTTTTTTCATTTTTTAATATGATGTTTAACAGAGCAAGGAAATGTTCAAAGTATGTCTGATAATATTTTTTCTTCTGCAGAAAGTCTTATTTGTTTTATTTTGGCTAGAATAAGAGCAGCTTTTAATTTTTTAAAAATAATTTTAAGGTCAAAATTATTAACCCCTTTCAGATAATTTTACGATAGTCTACAGAACAAACCATCATTATACAATAACTTGCCTAATTACCCTAACCTGCCTAGTTACCCTAATTTACCTAGTTAAGCCTTTAAATGTCACTTTAAGCTGTATAGAAGTGTCTTGAAGAATATCTAGTCTAATATTATTTACTGTCATCATGGCAAAGATAAAATAAATCAGTTATTAGAGATGAGTTATTAAAACTATTATGTTTAGAAATGTGTTGATTAAATTTGCTCTCCGTAAAACAGAAATTGGGGAAAAAAATCAAACAGGGGGCGAATAATTCAAGGGGGCTAATAATTCTGACTTCAACTGTATATACTAACTTAATACTAACTACGTGTTAGGGAAAATGTTGAATAAACAAACAAACAAATAAACAAATACATACATAAATAAATAAAAGGAAAAATCAGAGAAACAAAAAAATAATAATTTGTTGAAATTTTGTAGCTTGTATCTTTTAAAACTTTTTTGCAATGATTTGCATGAATTTAAATGCAATCTTTCTATTTCCACAGATGTCCGGTGACTAAAACAATATTAGGGCCCAAGTTCTGAAATGCACCCTTTCTACATTTATTTACATTGTATTATTTTTATATATAACTCAATCTTCTTTTCAACATTTTAAATTAATGCAATCTCTACATTTTAAAGAGTTGGTTTACTTAAAATGAATTTACAACTAAAAATAATCAATATTTTTATATATGATTTTACTGCTGGACCGCTCCATGATGAATAATTTATTTTTTAATATTATTATCACTATTACATAACATTACATTATCAGAAAAATATTATATTTGATTGTATATTAAATAATATTTAATTATGTTAAAATTGTATTTGTAACTCTCACCATACAAATAACTGTAGAAAACAATGGTATATATAGTTTATAGGTATAATTTATACTTCTAGATATTTATTGGGGGCCCCCAGATTTCCTGGAGCCCTGAGCGGAAGCTTACCTCGCTTATTGGTTAAATCCACCCCTGATTAGGATGTGCAGATCAGATAAAAAAATGTCTACATCAGATTTGTTCATTAACCTTACTAAACGTTTTGAATTTCCTCATGAATTTGCGTTTCATTTTCTCTAAATAAAAATTTCTCTTCCATTTTTTACAGTGAGAAGACGACGAGCAAGGTATTGCAAAACAAACATCGATGACCTCATATAAATAATACTTAACTAAAAAACAGTGAATGTCATTTTTATAAAAGTGTCTGCAGAATTAATAAATGTTCAATCTAAATGTGAATAATGAACAGATCTGTATTTGTCTTAGCAGAAGCCTGTCTCCTGAATCCACTTCAAACACGGTACCACACACACAGTAACCATTAATAAATTGTCAATTTATTTATTTATTTTACATTTTGTCATGATGGTTAAAAATGTAATCTTGTCTCTGCGCTTTACCATCAGCCCAGGTGTCCGTTGAGGAACAATCAGGACTTTCCTGCCAATAAGGAGAATGAGAGAGCCATTGTCAGTATTTGACCTCTTTCATTAATCCACACATTATTATTTAGTAGACATAATGCTATTTGAAAGGTAGTATGAAATGTGGTATATAAGGACTTTTAATTTTCAGTAAGACAGCTCAAGCACTTTCTGTGAACTGTCATGCCATTACAAATTGCGCATGTTTAAGATCTTTAAATGTTCTTTAAAATCAATGATTGTCACTGCCTTAACTGAATAACGATATAAAGTGGGTCTCTGACTGGACAAGAAGCACTGCATTAAATTACATTGTTCTGTACAATGTCTTTAAAATATACACATTTACCTCAGTATTTCACTGGAGTTTCTGCACTCACCTGCTGCTCCTGATGGCACTTGAGTTTAAACATTTTTTCATCTTGTTTTACATTTAAACAACTAAATGACTGCATAAGTCTATTTAACTGATTATACTTAAATTAAATTACAGTATCAATGCGGTTATAGGAATATTATGATATTAAAAATAGTAACATACCACTTACTGGAAGTTTATTGGTGGCTGACACTTGCTCTAATATAGCACATTATCTGAGGATTATTGCTAGAAGGGATACAGCTGTGGTCGAGAGTTCATTGGAATTATTTCTAATACATGCAATTATCTTATTAATAGCATATTATTAACGTCTACCCCCATCCCAACCCTAAACCCAACCATTACAGTAATGTAAAACAGAGTATTGTTACAATTATTTATTAAATTACACAGTAAATTGTATTTTATTAATGTCTACTCCCACCCAAGACTCACAGTAATGTAAAAATATTCATTATTGTTGTATAGTGTCACAAAAGTCACGGTATATGTATGTGAGTATCCACAGCTGTATCCCATATAGACTTTACAGTGTGTAACCGTCACGTCATTTTAATTTTCCCGCCAAAACCCTCCCTTCACATTAAAAAGGATCTATCTACAGCAGTTTCTTGACAAACTATTACTTTTTGTAAGGTCTATTTTTTTTAGTTTAATCGATATATTCATGGTTTGACAGTAAAATGGTGATTTAAACATTAAAATATTCACTTTGGAGGTCATTAATATGCGTGAGGCTTCCGGTCTCGATTTAAACAAAACCATTCAGCTCATTTATATGGTTTATATGTTGACATGACTTTGGCATTGTACTTTGCACTTTATTGTCATGGTAAACTAATACTTGCTCATATATAGGGAGTGTTTTATTGCAGTCTCACCAGCATTCAAATTGACGACGGATATTATTTGTCCAACAGAAGCGACTGCGCGTGCGCCTGTCCAGCAGATTCTCCTCATCTAATGCAACAGAAACCGCGGGCAGAAACAGGAGACAATACCGCAGTGATCCAGAAGAGGACGCCACTCCCTCACGAGAAACAGAGGCGGTGGATCCAATGGTGAGGCTTTATTTAATTTCATGCAAGAATTTGAGTGTAATTATCATTGATTAAATTGAAACCACTTGACAATTTATCGTTGTTGTTGTTATTTGTGTGTTTTGTTTTGCACAATGAATGATTAAGACACAGTTATGATTGTAAATTATATATTTAATGTTTACTACAAGTGTTGCAACGTTGTAAACCATTTCTGGAAGAATCTAGCCAAATATATATTTTAAAAGGACAAAACTTAGTTATTATTTCCCATTAAAAGATGTTATTTTTATTATTAAAACAAATCTAATAAAAGTCTTGAATATATTGCTAATCTCTTTATTTTATTGGCAAAATTTTACATACACAAACAGAAATTTGCTAAATCTTCTTCCATATTAACGGTTTTATATCAAGTTTAACTTCTTTATTTCTACTGTGAAATCGTTCAAAAGCAAAGCAAAAAATCTGAGATGTGTATCAATTATTATAACACGTTTTTTGATTCCCGTCAATTCTTTAAATCATTAAATGTAGAAATGCTGTACACTATGTTTTACTATGTTTTGTGTATTTAATTAAATATATATATATATAACCCTTTCTTATACTAGTTTTTTATGCCTCATCTTTTATATTGTGCTGTATCCTGATGGTTTATGCAATAAAAAATAAATCGAAGTAAGAGATAAATAATCGAAGTAAGAGATTGCCGAATAAATACCTAGTAATGTCTATAAATTTATATTGACACAGTTTTCTATATTATTTTGTATGGTGGAGGTCTAACAAATCAAAATTGAAGCGAATTATTACATCCATGTGAATATGTGTAATTAACCACACTTTGTTATCCAATCATAAACATTCTCTACCTGTCAATCACTTTGCAGGCCGCTGTGAGATTCCGTCAGCTGATGTCACAGCTGCAAGCCCCGCCCACACCTGTCACTCAGGTTGCAGTTGCTGACCTCACGCTCATAGGAGACTTCAGTAAGGTTGGTTCTGCAAAATCACAACAATATAATGTATTATTACATGTTTATTTCAAAATTAAGATATTAATTACACAAGTCATTAGGTTCATCCATAGGAAATTGGTTTAAGCGTAAAAGTCAAGTGTGTGTTGACTTCCTGACTGACTCTTCCTTATTTTCCCGCTCTTTTCTTTTTTGTTTTCTTCATTATATCGATTTATTTTCTTTTTCTTTATTGTATTTTAATATTTTGTCAAGTTCACTTGTAATTTTTACACTGCTTCAGCTATTTAAAAAACCTCAGACTGCATTTTAACTTTAATTAATACACAGTGTAAAGTCATGGGGTCAGCAAGATGTTTATAAAAGAAAATAAGACCATATTTCAGCAAGGATGGATATATTGATTAAAACTGGCATTAATAATGTCAAAATATTTACATAAAAAATATAAATTCTGTTCTTTTGAACTTTCTATGTATTGAAAAAAAAATTGGTACAAAAAAAAGGGAAGCGGCACAACATTACAACTGTCAATAGTAAAAAATGTTTTTTAAGCTGCTCATTTGCATATTGGGATAATTTGCATTGCTAATAATTAGAAACAGTCATGTGAAGACTGTTGTTATGATGCAATTTGTTTTACTGCTTTCACAATTTTTACTGTATTTTTAAATAATTGATAATAAGTAGAAGAAATTTATTTCAAAATCATATTAAAAGTCTTATTGATTCCTCATTTTTGTGCCTTCAAAGGCGAAAGCTGTTCATTCACAGTTAAGAGGATTGCATAATCACATTAAGAGCTGCTGATATGAAATTATTATCTATTCATGCATTTAGTCGTGACACAATTGTTTCCATAGCAACACCTGCTTCCTGTTGAGAGCGCAGGCCATCAGGAGCATCACTGCATCAGCGCACAAACTGTAAGAAATACTTAATACAGTCAAAAACAAAGAAGATTTGAAAGATTTAATAAGTGCAACTTTCACATCCCTGCTGAAAAATCCAGCTTAAACCAGCCTAGGCTGGTTTAAGCTGGATTTTTCAGTAGGGATTAATCCTTCATCATGCAATTAAATTAACGCCTTATTTTAATGTGTGGTAATATTCTCTGCTTCTGACCTGAAGGTGGCGTCTCTGATCAGAGGTCAGTTTGGTTCTGCAGTGGAGGATTTTCTCATTGTCGACTGTCGTTACCCGTATGAGTACCAGGGAGGACACATTAAGGTATTTAAGATATATCGCATATGACAGTATCAGACTTTTTTTTTGTGATTAATTGCTGAAGCTTTTATCATGATATACATGAGCAATATCACACTCGTAGCAGTGCAATATGGCTGTATATCAGCGGCGGAGTGCCTTAGTGCCCCACCAGTGCTGATATACAGCCATATCGCACTGCTACAAGTGTGATATTGCGTTTATACAAAAGCAAAATCGTGTATATAAATAAGAATAAGAAAATCAATCAAGGAGAGTCTAAAAACCCCTTTGTATTAGGAACTACTTTCTTCCGCCATTCATTCACATCTGCAGCTGACATCAAAACAGCAGAAGCCATTACTAATTCACCAACGTCACTTTAGAGTTAGTGCTTTAATGATTCTCTAGCGTAATGTCTAAAGTGATGACAAAACATCTGATTTTGCTCACTTTAAGATATTACGGCTGAAATTGAAACCGAGATAGGATGCAGCAGGTTTTGGGCGGCCACTTCGATCGGGTACTGTACCAAAGTTGGCAACCAGGGGGTGTTTACAGACTGTACCAATTTGGGTGTGGGTTAAATTACGGGAATTTTTTAGGAAGAAATAAAAACGGGATGCTTGCAGGAGACTGGGCTGAAATACAGGATACTCCTATGAAAAACGGAAGTGTTGGCTGGTATACTTACCAGTTTAATAATGATTTGATCTGCTGTAGTTAGAAATCAGACTGTTATAAGCTTCTAAGCGTAAGGGTTTATTTTGCGGTTTTGTCGCCATCTTGTGGATAGAAAACGTCAACCGTCTTTGGTCTACACCAGGGGTGTCAAACTCAATTCCTGGAGGGCCGAAGCCCTGCACAGTTTAGTTCCAACCCTGCTCCAACTCACTTACCTGTAGGTTTCAAACAAGCCTGAAGGACTGAATTAGTTTGATCAGGTGTGTTTAATTAGGGTTGGAACTAAACTGTGCAGAGCTGCGGCCCTTTTGGAACTGAGTTTGACACCTGTGGTCTACACTATGGCAGGCTAATGGCCGTCGACGAGCTCTCTCAGAAATTGTAAATATTTTAAAATAGGCACTATTCTTACAAATAAACTGCATATCGCTGTAGTTGCAATCTAAACAACTACATTTTCACCAAAAAAGCCTTAAAAGTATATTTTGTTGTCTAACAGCAGTAATATTTGTCAGACTGCTAGTGTCCGGTTGTTGCTGGCTGTATGTGGGCGGAGTAATACACAAAGGGTAAAGAGGCTGTACGGGTGCTGATATTACTTAAATATATCACAGCTATCAGCCAATCAGATTCGAGAACCAGACAGAACTGTTGTATAAAGTGTAGGAATGTATTTGTTTATATGGCAATACATATCTTTTTTCACCAAGAAGCTCCATACAGAATCCAAAGGCAGATACTGATAATATCAGGGACTGGTGTGAGGATTTTACGATATGGTCACATGTTGATTAGTCAGTTTGAATGTCTCAGTATTTTGGGTTTGATCACATGGACAAGAAAGGACAAAATAGCTGGTCAACTTTGCTCTGTCTCTTTCTCTGCTCAGTGCTTCCCTGTTCTGCTCCTCTCCAGCGCTGGAGTCTATCTTGTCTGGCTCTACAGGCTATCTTTAGAGCCTACTCTCTGTTTTCTCTCTCTCCCTCCCCCTGTCTCTCTCTCAGGTAACTTTAAGCTGGGCGCAATTAATATATGTTTTTATCATTTCATATTTTATAATTTTATGCAGTTATTTGTGGCTGATTTAGTTGTAACCGAAGCAAGTTGTTGTCATTAAATCGTTTCATTATCAAGTATTCTGTGATTTACGTTTGATTAAACATCAACACTTAATTGCTCCATATTGCAATACAATATTTAACACATTTTTAGCTAGCAGTGCTGCTCTTAGTTTCGTGTTTGGAATAATATTGGTTTGACTCTTTAAATAATCCTCCTTTGATTCAGGGTGCAGTAAACCTGTACACCGAGCATCAGGTCCAGCAGGTGCTCCATCAGGCCTCAGCTCAGGTGTCCGTTTCCACCAGCCGGCTGTGTGGACGATCTGCATCTGATTCACTTCCAGAGGACGAGGAGTCGCCGTCACGAAAACTGATCATATTCCACTGCGAGTTCTCATCAGAAAGAGGACCTCATCTGTGAGAAACACACTGTTATTATGAACACACATGATGCGTTTTCAGTATTTTCAGAGACTATAAAAACATTTTTCACAAGCTGCCGCACAAAAATCACAGGTATTTCGGAAGACTTTCATTTTTTCACAAGCACGTGTTGGCCTAGAATGAAAAACCCTGCATTTATAGTGATTAAGTGTTTTTAAAGAGGCTGAGGGTCACCAAGACTCTATAGACCTTTTTCTTGGAACGCAAAATTACCCATGATGCTTTGTGTGTATGCGCAAGGAGAATGCGAGGAACTTCCGGTCGGCAGCTGATGCGTGTAAACAGTCACATTTGGACAGATTTGAAACAATAGTTTTAATCTATTTTACCTGCTTTTATCCTCTTTGAACTAATACTGTTGTCCATCAGCACCATCTCCTGGACTGATCATTTAAAGAAATGAGATCTAATAGGATGGAAAACAGCTGCTGTGAGGCGTTTTCCCCTCATCAGACGGCATCTTCTGCTGTTTAAATGAAGCCTTGTCATCGCTAGTCAACATTTTCTCTTTATTTCAAATATATAACCAGCCCAAACAAATGTAGTTTACCAAAATGTTTGACACACACACACATAGCCTGTACTGTGCCTGTACTGTGCCACTGACACACTGATTTAATAACTGTGACAAAGTGAAAATATAGGCTAGTGTCATTTCGAAATGACAGAAAAACACAAACCGTGGTGAAAACAACACACGAAATAAAACACAAACGGCTCACGATTAGAATGAACAGCAAATCAGCCAGCAGAGGATCAATAACAGACTTTTATTGGTCATTTTTGTAAATTGCATGACTTTCATACCTGTTAAGTTTCATGCCAGTACTCTGGTTTGCGCTCTCGCTCGCTCTCTCTCTCTGTGTGTGTGTGTGTGTGTGTTAAAGAGCCGCCGAGCTAACAGCTGACAGGCCGGGATCGCACACACGCACACTGTACGTTATTTCTGACGGCAGACACGTGAACTAGGAGAACGTTTTTCTCCTATTTCTGACGCGCTTGAACCACATGTGACAGATTATAACGGCTTTAACCGACACATTTCTAAGTTGTGTGTCACAAAAACACTCTGTTATCCCTGCTGAAAAATCCAGCTTAAACCAGCCTAGGCTGGTTTAAGCTGGATTTTTTTAGCAGGGATCCATTAAAAACGTTATTGAAACCCATTTTCGGAGCGCAAATTACCAGTTGTACACGCTGTAAACGGAAGTTTTTAGCATTGTACCGGAAGACGCTGGTCGCTATGGCGCCCTGCATGCAGCAGCCATGAAAAAGGTCTATAGACCTGGACATTTATTATATTGGATCTGTGATATCTTAAAATACCTGCGGTCTTCTTTCGCCAACCTGATTTCACCAAGCAGGACATGTTCCTGAATTAACATCTATGTTGATCCTGGAACCACATTCCAATCAGCCAATCAGAATTAAGGGATACATTTACTGTTTATTATGTATGTTAAGTTTAGGCTTATGATTAGGTTCATGCCCTTCTACATGATTGTTAACTATTATTCCCCTCTGATTTTGGGAATAGTTTACAGTTATGGTTGGGTTTAGGGGTAGGGAATAGGTATGGATTACATTTTTCAACACTAATTATGTTCCAGTATCAACATGTTAATCCAGGACTGCATCATACTTGGCAAAATCAAGACGTGTGATCTTCTTTCCCATTGGACAGATGTCAGTATCTGAGGAGGCTGGACAGATGTGTTAATGTGTACCCGAGTCTGCATTATCCTGAGCTGTACCTGCTGCTGGGGGGTTACAAACACTTCCACGCCTCATATCCGGTAAAGTATAATCCATTATGCTAAATGTCCATCAGCCAATCAGAATCAAGCATTCAATATACACGTTGATAGTTTTCAGTCATGTGACCTGAGTGGGAAAAAAAAACAAGGGGCCGTAATGGCAGCTCCACAGAAACGCAGCACAAACCAGTATTTTTCCATCCGTTTTAAGCTACAAACATTTGAATCACATATCAACAGATTGAAACAGAGATATGATCACAGACTGTAAATTCTGGGCCCTTGTGATCCATTTTTGATCAATTATTTAGTCATTTAAAACCCTCATGTCCCTGTCAGAGCTCCAATTTTGCAGTGTTTACGTCTATCTTGTAAAGTAAAGTAAAGTAAAGAACTTTTATTGTCATTGTAGTTATACAACGAAATTTGTTTGGTAACTCACAGAGAACAGCAGCAATATAAAAAGAGAGAAAACAAACAATAGACATAATACTAAAATTTAAGATGCAAGATCAAATATACTAAATGTAATAAGTCACATAAAACAAACAATAGACATAATACTAAAATATAAGATGAGATAAAAAAAAAATACTAAATGTAATAAGTCACAGTATTTACATTGTGTCAAATGAGTGCAAACATGAATATCCATAAAGTGTCTTTGTGCATTAGCAGCAGAACATCAGGAAGATAGGGAGTGAGGGAAGGGGGGGGGGGGGGTGACTGTTAATGTGTACGAAGAGGAGGGGTGGCACAGGCTACAGCTCTGGGGAAGAAGCTGCTCCTTAGCCTGTTTGTGCGGGTCTTAATTGCCTTATATCTTTTCCCTGATGGGAGTAGTGCAAATAGTTTGTGTCCTGGATGAGTAGGGTCCTTAATGATGTTGCTAGCTCTCCTCTGTAGACGGCTAGCGTAGACTGTATCGAGGTTTGGGAGTTTAATTCCTATGATCCTCTGTGCAGTCTTAACAGTTCGGGTTAGAGCTCTCCGGTTTTCCGCAGTGCAGCTTGTGTACCACACTGTGATGCAGTGACAGAGGATGCTCTCTATCGTGCTCCTGTAGAAATTTAGTAAGAGCTGGGTCGGTACTCTTGTTTTTTTGAGTTTCCTTAAGAAGAAAAGTCTCTGTTGAGTTTTCTTCACTAAGTGGGTGGTGTTAATGGTCCATGTGAGATCTTTTGTCAGATGTAGGCCTAGGAATTTGATGTTATTTACCCTCTCAACTTCCTCCCCAGTTATGTGGAGGGGGGTTGGTGGTGTCCTTTTTGCTCTTCTGTAGTCTACAATGATCTTGTTTGTTTTGTTTTGTTTTGGAGACACACCAGTTGATTAGGTGTTGGACGTCCTCTCTGTAGTGAGACTCGTTGTTACCTGAGATTTGTCCTATAATTTTGGTGTCGTCAGCAAACTTCACTATCTTGTGGATATTCGTCAGTGATTTAGTCATTAGTGATGGCTTTATAGCTCGTAAGTGTCTGCTTTTATATTTGGTGACATTTTTTTTTGGTTAGATTAATATTTGCTGGTAGGGTAAAAAGCATATGTTCACTTCTGCTATGACCCTAAAAATGTGACAACGTGAAACTAACAATAGCACAACGTTTCTCAATCCTGGTCCTCGTGCCCCACAACTCTGCACATCTATGTTTCTTTATTCAAGCCAGACATTTGTTCTAAATTAACAACAAGTGCCCTGCAAAGTGAACTCCACATGATACTCAGCCATGATTTCAGCTTGAAGGGAGCATATATGTGTCATTTTAGTGTGTGAGTTTATATTGTGTTTTATTTTTGGAAGTATGCTATATGACTTATTTTATAAGGCAGCATGGTGGCTAGCACTGTCTCCACAATGCAAGAAGGTCGCTAGTTCGAGTCCTGGTTCATTCTGCTGTTGCGACCTCTGAATTAGAGGCAAAGCTGAAAGAAAATGAATTAATTAATGTAGCATCTAAGGCGCTACAAGTATTGCTGTTGTCTAAATCTGTGACCGAATGCTTCAAAGTGGAGCTTTCTCATGCTCTGGTCAAACAATGAAGGAAGAAGGGACTAGGGAAGAATGCACACTGCGTAGGGAACATGTCAGTCACTATGGAGCTCATCTAATGAGCTGGCTATCTAAATCAGCTGTGTTCGAATGAGAGAGACATGTAAAATATGATTCGCTGTACTATGAATGCTTTATTCTGATTGGCTGATGAGCATTATAATGTGTGCAGTTACTGTATTTCCAGATAAACACACAGCTAAAGTAGTTCCGGCAGGCATTACAGCTCCATAACACTACGCTGAAGGATTTCAACAGTCAAAAATCACATTAAAACACAACTGAAGGCTTTAAATGAGATGTGTGAGAAACCAGTGCTACACTGGAGTAGTTTGAGGACGAAAACCTGACTGAAATACAACATCTGAACTGCCGTTTTAGCTGTGGTATCCATATACGCAGAATAAAGCACTCCAGTCCATTGTATTATTGGAAAATAATGCACACCTGAGGCATAACGGCCACTCTGCTTCTAGTTATACATTCTAAATATATTAATTCAATTGTTGTCAATAACTTGTTATGTATCTAATGTCTAAATGTTTGTGTGTGTGTGTGTGTGTGTGTGTGTGTGTGTGTGTGTGTGTGTGTGTGTGTGTGTGTGTGTGTGTGTGTGTGTGTGTGTGTGTGTGTGTGTTTTGTGCACAGGATTTGTGTGATCCGTGCGGTTATGTGTCCATGCGCCAGCGCGAATACAGGGAACAACTGAACAGCTTCCTCAGGAGAAGACAAACACGACAGCGCAGACGACGGCCAATCAGAAGACATCACAGAACAAAACGATAAACATTCTGATCATACCCTGCCAATCGGAAGAGGACAGGAACTGCATCATGTTTGTTCTGTGTAAAAAAATTGCATACCACTATTTATTTGATGACCAAAACTGCATATGTTAAGGTGGACGTGAGTAGCTACATACTTTTTGGTCGTGGTGAGTGAATGAATGTGAGTCTAAAATTATTTTATTTATATTAGTCAATGTTAATATAATTAATTACATAAATTTATTTTAAAAATCATGATTTAGTCAATGAGTTAAGCATGTGCATTTGATTAATGTGTTCTTTTTATAGTTAAATTCTATTAAATAGCTTGCTGAAATGAAGACAATATTATTTATTAGCCTTTTTATTTAGAATTTAATAATTAATTACATTTTTATAAAGATATTAAAGGCAGAACCTCCACTGAGAAATGTAGTATCAGTGCCTTTCTGGGTGTTTTAAGGGACATTAGTAAAATCTTTGCTTTTAATGAGCTCACAAGTTTATTTAACATCAGTTTATGAGGAACTTGTTACATTGGGAAGAGAAAAAACGGAATAAAACGAATTAAAACCTGAATAAAAATTGAATAAACTATTAAAACACTAAGCCTGCTTTACTGTGTTTTAAAAGAGAGGTTGCTTCACTTACAAAATGTGTATCATATTTAAAAACATTGCATATTATTGAATATCTGTAATATTTAAGTATATCAATTCAGTTCAATTCAGCTTTATTTGTATAGCGCTTTTACAATGTATATTGTGTCAAAGCAGCTTCACATAAATCATTCAACATTAATTTTCCTTCGGCTTAGTCCCTTTAATCATCAGGGGTCGCCACAGCGGAATGAACCGCCCACTATTCCAGCATATGTTTTACGGTGTGGCTACACTTCCAGCTGCAACCCAGTACTGGGAAACATCCATACACACTCATTCACACACGTACACTATGGACAATTTAGCTTACCCAATTCCTCTATAGCGTATGTGTTTGGACTGTGGGGGAAACCAGAACACCCAGAGGAAACCCACGCCAACATGGGGAGAACATGCAAACTCCACACAGAAATGCCAACTGGCCCAGCCGAGGCTCAAACCAGCGACCTTCTTGCTGTGAGGCGACAGTGCTAACAACTGAGCCACTGTATCAGCCCTAATATTTAAGTTTATAATTTTTTATAGTCATTCATTCATTTTCTTGTCGGCTTAGTCCCTTTATTAATCCGAGGTCGCCACAGCGGAATGAACCGCCAACTTATCCAGCAGGTTTTTACGCAGCGGATGCCCTTCCAGCCGCAACCCATCTCTGGGAAACATCCACACACACATTTACACACACACTCATACACTACGGACAATTAAGCCTACCCAATTCACCTGCACAGCATGTCTTTGTACTGTAGGGGAAACAGGAGCACCCGGAGGAAACCCACGCGAACGCAGGGAGAACATGCAAACTCCACACAGAAACGCCAACTGAGCTGAGGATTGAACCAGCGACCTTCTTGCTGTGAGGCGACAGTGCTAACCACTGAGCCACTGTATCACCCCTAATGTTTAAGTTTATAATTTTTTTTATATATAATTTATTATTCATATTCATATAATTATTCATATAACTCACTCATAAACTGTCAACAATTTATTTACTACATAATGTTTTTCATCTACATGCTAAATAAATCTTTTAGAATTGGTTTAAATAATAAAATACATACAGCCCAGTAATTAAATGACTAGAAAAACACAATGCAACATTATAAGAAACCACAAATGCTCTAATTTTACACCAAATATTTACAGCATTTGTCAGTAGAAAATAAAATCGTTTCATAAATATATGTAACAATATACTTGATAAACATTTTAAGACGGGCCCACGCAAGAATATGATCATTTTTGGGGGATCCAGAGATTCAAAATTTTCTGCACTATATTATTATTTCTAAATCATATGAAACGAAAGTGCTTAAAGTCAACAATGATATTTTAGTCACACTAATTATAGTTATATTCTCAGTTGAAACTAATTAATGCACTTTCTCCCAAAACTCTTCCTAAATGTTAAATACTTTAAATTACAAATCACTGTGCTTATTTTGATGAACACCATGGAATTATGATATATATATATATATATATATATATATATATATATATATATATATATATATATATATGAAACATCACTGTATTGAAATAGCCTAAAACAAGTAACTCATAAAGTATAAATAATAAAACAAATAAATAAATATATATATATATATATATATATATATATATGAAACATCACTGTATTGAAATAGCCTAAAACAAGTAACATAAAGTAGGAGAAAGAAATACGCCTCAAATACTAATAAAAAAATAATCAAAAGATTTAAAACACGTATTGTTCCTATATGCTATATTATTAAAAAGTTTATTATTTCAATAAAATAATACATCTATTGTTTTTAAAACGTATTTTTGCGTGTAAAAATTACAATGTAGCTCAAAAAGTTTACAATAATATATCTAGTATGGTATAGAAATACATCATTCATAGATGGATTTAAACCATATATAATCAAAAAAGATGCTGATAAGCGGAGACTGAAGGTCGCGTAGTGACGTGTGTGCACGCGCGCGCTCTTACTCCTGATAGGTCGCGCGCATCAGGAAGCGTCTTTCCTCCTCTCGCTTTCCACTTTCACAACCGACCGACGACCTCCAGACTCACCGGTGCGATATTTCCGTTCACCGCGTCACCATCTGTCATCTGCCGCTGTCTCCTTCATCCGCGAACATCCCGAGAGCGTCCGCCTGCAGATCTGCCATTATGGCCGCCTATAAGCTGGTGCTGATCCGCCACGGAGAGAGCGTCTGGAACCAGGAGAACAGGTTCTGCGGATGGTTCGACGCCGATCTCAGCGACACCGGAGAGGCGGAGGCCAAGAGAGGTGGACAGGCCCTGAAAGGTGATCCGGTGTCCTTGTGTGTTTGACTGATCTCCTGCAGACAATAATGCAGTGCTGCATCACAGGCCTACACACACACACACACACACACACACACACACACACACACACACACACACACACACACCTCATCATACTGGAGTATTGTTATTATGGATACATACTTTGTGCAATATGTTCTTTCTCAATTCTTTAACGATTGTATTGTGTCTGGTCATTTTCACGTCAGCCTGATGTTAAAGTCTGATCAAAATCAAAATTTACAATGTTTATTTTATAGCGCACATTGTTAGACTTTAGGTGAACAATTATTTTGTTAATCCAATACTGCTTTGGTCATCTTTAATCAAAATCTGACCATTTGTCTTCTCTTTGTAATGGTAGACTTTCTGATGATGTCAGTTTGACGGCTTAGGTGGAATTTGTTTAGCCATGCCCACAAAACCGTTAAGCCTGCTTTATACTTATGCGTCAAGTGATCGGCGTGACCCACAGCGCATGCAACGCGCGTAGCTGTTCATTCATAATTCTGCGCGCTGTTTCCGTTGCTCTGCAATAACACTTCTGAAACACTAGTTGGCAGTGAGGTGTTTATGTTCCTCCGTGTCGAGTTTCTTCGCTGGTGTTTTGTTTTTTCTGAACACTTCCTTAATGTACAAGTGTCTCAAACTCGCTCATTTTGAGGCAGAAACTGGCTCAACTTTAACCATGAGGTAAACCCAAAACAAAACTTTCCATCTAGAGCTTCTTCTTCAGACTCCACACTTGTAAACAATGTTCCATCGGGCTCGCGCTGCTCTTGGTCCCGTCCACACTTGTCAGCGCTACCCAGCCAACCAATTACAGAGCTTGTGCTAGACGTCTTTGCGATTCATTCACACCAGACGCGGATGAAGCGCCACGTGAGTTTTTTTACATCTTAATTCAATGCAAAGAAGCGTATAGACATCCTGTGGCGCAATATGCGCAAATGAGGTGGTGCGAATGACGCAATTCGTGAGAATGAAGTGGCGTAAGTTGAGCGTTTTTCACGATTAACGCGTGAATTGCTCATGGTGTAAAATCTGAACTTCAGCAGACATTCACGTTACGTTAACCAATCATAAGCTTGCTCTTGTAGGGGCTTGATTATGACGTAGCGCCTGTTGTTGGTGTCCTGGAAGAAATCCTCCTGCTGACACCAGACAACAGCTCATCAAACTGGGCTCGACTCAATCTGAAGCACCGCTGAAAGAATCCATCATTCAGCTATAGTTTCTAAAGGAGTTTATGAGCTCACAGAGCTGGGTACACCTCTGAAAGGATCTTGTGAACTCGGACATGGCGTCAAACTAATTGACACTGTTTTTCAGCCTTCCTAAAGCACATGAACACAGCTACTCTCTCAATTAAAGTCATGTTAGCCATTTAGCAATGAATCCTTGCCCATGATGCAAATTCGTGTCTATTGTTCAATGAACGCGCGAATGAAACTAATAAATTCAAAATGTTTACGTGTTTATTTACGTATGAACATCGCGATTTATTCACGCGTTATGCATCTGGTGTGAACGCAGCATTAGATTGTGGCAAGTGAAAAATGAGAGGAGGAGCACTAAAAGAACGCATCGCCCCTTTTCAAGTTTTCGTTTCAATTGGAAACACGTCGTCATACTGGAATAAAATTCACAATAATTAATAAAAATTATAATTTGTCATTTATATAAAGTATGATGTTGAAACGCTTAATTTGCACTCCTACATAGTGAAAATAGTACTGTCCACATTGTGCTGATCTTCCTTATTTATTTTTGGATAACATGTATTTGCAGCAATACTTTGTGATTGCCAATGTTTTGATTGGTTGTCGTGGGTATGTGCTTAGTGTTTGTTTATTAGTTTGTAGTCGATCAAAATTTTTTAAAAAGTATCCGTACATTAGTGACAATTTCTCCCTTATTAGCATAAACAGCCCTGAGTGAGAAACAGTCATTAGAATTTTGAGCTGCTGAAGTTAATGTCAGGGACTAAGAAGATTATTAATGAGGAGATTTAGGATGCACAAATAAACACTAGTCTCCATAGACCAGGGGTCAGCAACCCGCGGCTCTAGAGCCGCATGCGGCTCTTTAGCGCTGCCCTTGTGGCTCCCTGAAGCTTTTTAAAAATGTTTGAAAATGGAAAAAGATGGGGGAGGTTAATATATATTTTTTGTTTTAATATGATTTCTATAGCAGGACAAACATTTTTAACGTTTTCAAATGCTGTAAAAGTGTTTAGAATTAATATTTAGTTACAACATTTCTGTCAACGAAGATTTGCGTCATAGCCTGCGACACACGTTTCTATCAGCAGGGCGGGATGCCAGGCAGGTGGCTGTTGTAAACAAACCGGGAGATAATAAAGCACGGAAAACCGTTCACAGATGGCGACTACATGAAGAAGTCATTCATCAACATATTAGAACACCTATTTGCAGACTTCAAAAACAAAACCAAGACAATACAAAAATTAAAGATATACCATTCTCCGGTAAACAGTGAAGGAAAGGGCTATTAAAATGGCAGTAACATCACCGATCAGCAAACCAAGGACATTCATTCAGTGCCAGTATACTCAATTGCCTGTACTGTGACCATTATTCAACGCGCTTTTATGCAGGTATGTGAACTCTGATGGACCACAAGAAGAAATTATCAAATTAATACCACTAATAAGACAAGAGGCTGTGCTGAAGTGTTAAAAAGACAACACAATAAACACCAACCACCTGATTTCAGTGGCTATTTAATCATGAAGGCTCATTATGTATTTGTAGAAAACTTAGTCATTTTTATAGTAGGTTAAAATAGCTACTATAGATACATACAGCATGTGTTTCCTTCATTATAAGGCTTATATAAGACTTTACATTTTTTTGTGGCTCCAGGCATATTTGTTTTTTGTTTTTTTTTGGTCCAATATGGCTCTTTCAACATTTTGGGTTGTCGACCCCTGCCATAGACTGAAACGTTCTCACACACTTTTTTCACAGAGATAACATTAGCTCTGTTTGAATTTGCCACTGGGGCAGGCATCTGTAGCTCCGCCCTCTTTAAAAAAAAGAGCACAATCTCATTTGAATTTAAAGCGACAGTCACTAAAATGCCACAATTAATAGTCAAGGGTCAGTTTCAAAGAGTTATAAACATTATTTGTGTGGTATTTTGACCTGAAACTTTACACACACTCTACAGACATCTTTGACTTATTTTACATCCTGTATAAAGTGTCATAGTAGGTCCTCTTTAAAATATTTTCCCTCATTCAATTTTTCTTTTGTGTATCTGTTAAAATAACCTGACACTATAGATGCTGTCTGATCTGTCCTGCAGATGCGGGTTACGAGTTTGACATCTGCTACACATCAGTGCTGAAGCGAGCGATCAGGACTCTGTGGCTGGTGCTGGACGGCATTGATCAGATGTGGCTGCCGGTTCACCGCACCTGGCGTCTGAACGAGCGGCACTACGGCGGCCTGACGGGTCTTAATAAAGCTGAAACCGCAGCCAAACATGGAGAGGCACAGGTCAAGATATGGAGACGCTCCTACGACATTCCTCCTCCACCCATGGACCCCGAGCACGACTTCTACACCGCCATCAGCAAGGTCAGAAAACAGACTCAGGGTTAAGGCTGATTTACACTTCTGCGTCAAGCACATATATGTTCTACGGCCAGGGTCGGAGCAAGCTGAACTGCCGCTCTAGGCAAAGGACGGTCACGCCGCCCTCAAACCTAAAGTGAAACTGGGGGGGGTCTATTCTGCCGCCCTAGACGCGGCTATAACTGAGGGTAGTTTAGGGGACGCCGCCCTCTCTATTCTGCCGCCCTAGACCCGGATATAACTGAGGCGCGGGTGGCGAGGGTAGTTTAGGGGACGCCGCCCTCTCTATTCTGCCGCCCTAGACGCGGATATAACTGAGGCGCGGGTGGCGAGGGTAGTTTAGGGGACGCCGCCCTCTCTATTCTGCCGCCTTAGACGCGGATATAACTGAGGCGCGGGTGGCGAGGGTAGTTTAGGGGACGCCGCCCTCTCTATTCTGCCGCCCTAGACGCGGATATAACTGAGGCGCGGGTGGCGAGGATAGTTTAGGGGACGCCGCCCTCTCTATTCTGCCGCCTTAGACGCGGATATAACTGAGGCGCGGGTGGCGAGGGTAGTTTAGGGGACGCCGCCCTCTCTATTCTGCCGCCCTAGACGCGGATATAACTGAGGCGCGGAGGCGAGGGTAGTTTCGGGGACGCCGCTCTCTATATTCTGCCACCCTAGACGCGGATATAATTGTGGGCGTGGGTGGCGAGGATAGTTTCGGGGATGCCGCTCTCTCTATTCTGTCACCCCAGACGCGGATGAGGGCGCGGGTGGCGAGGGTAGTTTCAGGGACGCCGCCCTCTCTATTCTGCTGCCCTAGGTGGCCGCCTAGGTCGCCTCTATGGAAGCGCCGACCCTGACTACGGCCCAGCCTTTGCACAGTCGCATAGCCCTTGCCATGGCCGACACTCTCAAACAATGTAACTACACGTCCCATTGCGCAAGCTTTGTGATTGGTCGGCTCGGTATCGGTTATGAGTGTGTGTGCAGTGATTCAGTGACTGATTCAATGCAAGTTTCAACAGATGCAATTTTCAATATCATTATAATGCATCCAGCTTACTTTTGTGATGTACAGGATATTGCATTCAATTCTGCAGTCACAAAATCTTGGAGGGACTAAAACATGATTCCTGAGCAGCAAATCAGCATGTTTGACTGATTTCTGAAGGATCACGAATACACTGAAGTCTTCTTGAAGTATTTTTGATGCAGTTTATTGACCTTATTCTGCGATGTGGAAGTGCGCTTCTCCTGTTTGCGATTTGCTTCTGATTCAGTTTCCAATGGTAGAAATAGCCGCATTTCCACTATCGCGTCTAAAACGAGCGAGCCAAGGCCAGTCACGTTTCCACTGTCACTTCCAGAGCTTAATCAGGCCAAAGCGGGGCTTTCTCGGGGCCAGCGGCCGACCTTTTTCGGCCCGCCAAATACATTGGCAGGGCTCAACAATAAGGACTGCCCGATGGCCCGGGGCCAGCGTGAGGGATGTTCGGGACAGTAGAGAGAATTGTTACTGGTCACAAAATTTGAATTTGCCTTTGACTATATTGTCAATTGCGTACATATATAAAGTTTTAGAATTGAGAAACAATTTGTGCTTTTAAGTCTTTGACTGTTTTGCCTTTTCTATGAAGTCGTAAACCCCATATTGCTTTTTGGTTCCTTTTATCTGATTGGATGTTGTGAGCACATTATTTCTTTACATAACCTGGTAAAAACCAGTTAAGTGAAGAGACGGCAACATCTAATGATGAGGCTAAAAGAAAACGTCGGTTTCTAACGTTGTGGAATCAGATATTTACATGGGCACAACACCATGAAAAAAATTAAGTGATGTTTTGCATAGTTTTCTGTCACTTTTAGGTCAGCCACCTTTTGTTTTGCAACAAAATACCTGCACATACAGCTTTATTTTACACCTAAATATTTTTTAAAAATTAAATATTTAAATTCTAGATTTACATGCAATATTTTTGACACATCATTTAAAATATGTGGATAAGAATTAGCTATTTTTTATTGAATTCTTTTTAGTGGGGCCAGTGAAAATTTTGGCAGGGCAAGTAAAAATCTGAACCAGTGGCCCAATCAGGCCAGTAGAAAATATCCTTAGCGTTGAACCCTGATTGGGCCAAAGAGGGCCAGCTGGTGCTTCGGGGCGGAGTGAAGGGAGAGGCAAACACTTGTTTTCCAATCGCACACAAGTACATGTGCCAACACATAAACAAATAAATAAATAAGGGAAAGAAAACATCTAGCCTTATAGGCTGACGTCTTTTTGCTTATAATAAAGTTTTAATTTATAGTGACATTATTTGCTGCGTCCTCCTCGATGTTTCAATAACGCATAATAAATCTTTACACCACATTAAAGACACAGCAGACAGTAAAGGTTGTCGAGAGTTTTTGTCAAGTTTAAAAGGTGTGTTTGTGCCTGTTTAGATGCCTGTATGTGTGTGTGAGACCGAGCAAAAGAGCGAAGTGTGCTGGTTGTGTGACGTTTGATTCGGGGGACGTTCTGGGGGCGGGGTTTGCGTGACGAGCTGCGAGCTACTAGCCCAGGGGTGGCCAACCCTGTTCCTGGGAAAGATTCCTGCCATGAAAATAGCCTTGGTTGCTGACATGGCATTAAATAAAAAATACATTACATTATCCCTGTTCCTGGAGAGCCACCTTCCTGCAGATTTCAGCTGCTACCCATATCAAACACACCTGAACCAATTAATTAGGACCTGAACACCACGTAATTACAGGCAGGTGTGTTTGATATGGGTTGCAACTGAAATCTGCAGGAATGTGGCTCTCCAGGAACAGGGTTGGTCACCCTTGTACTAGCCCGACAGTGGAAACGCGACATGATTTCGGCCTCACTGCTCGGCCTGGCCCGATAAAAGCCGTCTCGCACTGGCCTGACAGTGGAAATGCGGCTAATGAAAGTCTCCAGCCCAAACGATTCTAATGTCATACATCAAGAATAGAGTCAATAAGATGTTCAACTTTTAATTCTGTGTTTTGTCTGTGCAGGACCGGCGTTACGGGGACCTGACGGAGGATCAGCTGCCCTCCTGCGAGAGCCTAAAGGACACCATCGCTCGAGCACTGCCCTTCTGGAATGAGGAGATCGTCCCGCAGATCAAGGAGGGAAAGAGGGTCCTCATCGCAGCCCACGGGAACAGCCTGAGAGGAATCGTCAAACACCTGGAGGGTGAGAGGAAACATTAGGACCTGTTGTTTGCCACATCTGAGATATTACGAGATTCAGCATATATACTAGGGGTGTCAAATTAAATTGATTTTTTGATGCACCGTTGATCCAGATGTGAATGATTCAGTATTGGTTAAGTAACTGGTTATTACATACTGACATAATCCCATATCAGACCCCCGAGTTTTTCACGATTATTTTTGGCGATTTTTTTTTTTTTTTTTTTTTTTTTTAATACAATTTTTTTTTTCAATAAAAATGACTGATTTTGTAGTGGTAATTCCCCAAAATGTGCGGACAACTTTGTGATAAAAAAAAAAATATATATATATATATATATATATATATATATATATATATATATGAAGAATTCAGATGCAAAAACCTCCGAATGCTGCCTGAAATTTCAGCATCCTTTGTTTATGCTGAGATATTTCACTTTAAAAATCAGGAAAAAGACTTACTCTTTGCCGTAAAAGTCATATTGCTGAATATATACCTGATGAAAACCTGATGAAAATAATCATTTTAGAGGAAAACTCTTCATATATATATATAAATAATCAATTTACCATATTAGGTAGCGTGCTATGGTAGGTGTGCAATCTGACACAATGACACATCATAAAAATAAAGCTTCTTTATATTGGTCTCTTGTCAAGACATGATCTAAAATCTTAGAAATTAAGCCAAAGGAAGGTTGTATAACTCTTATTTTTATCCACAAGCTTACTTTCTCTCTCTTAGATTTCACTCACTCACTCATCTGACATCATGTACCTCACTCAGGACGTGCGTTAGGGCTTCCCCTACCTTAATACGCATAAAAAACGGATTGTCGTAAAACTCGTCAATGGCAGGGAAGAGTTAAACGAAAACATTTATCCATTTTATAGACATCATAATACCAGGCATACATGTAAAGCACAAATGACCGTCTTTCAATTCGGTCACATCTAGATGCCGTCATCCTTGAATCAATCTCCATCACTGTAAGCTGCTTGCTTTTCTGCCTGTTCCACTGCTCCATTTGTTAGATGTTTCACACTATTTTTGCAGTCTGAAGCTCGTCAAACACACAAAACAGCCAGTTCAAGCCACAGGATGTCTAATCCCATCTTTGCATTGACTTCACTTGTCTGCGTCTGCTTACCTCACAGCCAATAAACAATTCCCCCACTTCCCGACCCTTCCATGTAATGTAATGATGGTGAGGGCGCAGGTGAGCCGTCATTTACCGAGAGACACTCAAATACATCACGTCTATAAGTCATGTAAAACAATTCATTGCAAACTGAGATAAATATATTTTGATTAAATGGTTTGGAATTGGATGTTATATGAGATTATTTTCATGTTTTGCAGTTAATTTGCGTTTAAATTCTGAATTTTGCAGTATTGTTAAAATTTGTGTCTTTTTGTTGATTTTGCGTTGGATTCAGCGATCGCGGAATCACGAGAAATTAGGGCACAGGTGTCAAACTCAGTTCCACTAGGGCCGCAGCTCTGCACAGTTTAGTTCCTACCCTAATTAAACACACCTGATCAAACTAATTGAGTCCTCCAGGCTTGTTTGAAACCTACAGGTAAGTGTGTTGGAGCAGGGTTGGAACTAAACTGTGCAGGGCTTCGGCCCTCCAGGAATTGAGTTTGACACCCCTGAATTAGGGAATCTGCCATATGCGCAATATCGCGGTAGCTTATTATAGTGAGGGAGGTGAGCACAAGTAATTAAAATGCTCCGACTAGATCAGCTGTGATAGCAGTGGCTATTCTTCAGTGTGCGATGACCATTAGAGCCAACCACAGCTCATTCTGTTCAGTGTGTGAGCACAATATCCAATCATAGGCATTTAAGAACTCGCTCGACAATGCTCAAAAGCGGGATTATTTACGTTATGGTCCTGTCGTCTTCTGTGCCTCTACTTCAGTTTTATTGATGCATGCTTTGAGCAGGTCAAAAATGTACCTTATGCATGTAAATATGTAATTTACTATGCTGAAAGTTGCAAATGGACCTGTAAAGTGCTTAAATCTGACTTTGGGGAGGGTGTAACGTTCCTAATTATACTGTGAATTAAATGTTTAGATTAATTAAGCAAGTTATTTTTCAGTTTAAAGTCAAACACTGAAATCCCTGTGCCCTACATGATGCATGATGATACATTATGTCTTATATAACGTTGCGGTGTGGATTATCCCCTGTGTTTCCTCCAGGAATGTCGGAGGAGGCGATTATGGAGCTCAATCTGCCCACGGGGATCCCCATCCTGTACGAGCTGGACAAGAACCTGAAGCCAGTGAAGCCTATGCAGTTCCTGGGAGATGAAGAGACCGTCCGCAAGGCCATGGAGGCTGTCGCTGCGCAGGGGAAAGCAAAGAAGTAGAGCCGGATTTCACAAAATCACCCTCAGAAACACAATCAGTGTTTTAACATGAGCCAAACCAATGATCAATCATTCACAAAACACTCTTAAAGAGACAGTTCACGCTTAAAAATACAATTCTGTCATCAATTTACTTATTCAAAACCTGAGTTTCTTCTATTGAACACAAATGAAGATATTTTGAAGAATGCTGGAAACCTGTACCCATCGACTTCCATAGTATTTGTGTTTCTTACTATGGAAGTGAATGGTTACAGGTTTTCAGCATTCTTCAAAATGTCTTCTGTTGTGTTCAATAAGACGTCTGAGTTTCTTCTATTGAACACAAAAGTAGATATTTTGAAAAATGTTGGAAACCTGTAACCATCGACTTCCATATTTGTGTTTCCTACTATGGAAGTCAATGGTTACAGGTTTTCAGCATTCTTCAAAATTTCTTTCATTGTGTAAAATAAGACGTCCAAGTTACTTCTTTGAACACAAAAGAAGATATTTTGAAGAATGTTGGAAACCTCCAACTATTGACTTCTATATTTGTGTTTCCTACTATGGAGGTCAATGGTTACAGGTTTTCAGCACTTTTCAAAACATCTTCTGTTGTGTTCAGCAGAAGACGTCCGAGTTTCTTCTATTGAACACAAAAGATATTTTAAAAAATGCTTGAAACCTGTAACCATCGACTTCCATATTGGTGTTTCCTACTGTGGAAGTCAATGGTTACTGGTTTTCAACATTCTTCAAAATATCTTAAGTTCAATAGAAGACGTCTGAGTTTCTTGTATTGAACAGAAAAGAAGATATTTTGAAAAATGTTTGTAACCATTGACTTTCATATGTTTCCTAAGTCAATGGTTACAGGTTTTCAGCATTTTTCAAAATATCTTCTATTGTGTTTAATAGAAGACATCTGAGTTGCTTCTATTGAACAAAAAAGAAGATATTTTGAAGAATGCTGAAAACCTGTAACCATTGACTAGAAAAAATGGAAGAAACTCAAACAGGTTTTAACCACTTGAGTGTGTAAATAGTGAGTAAAGTACTTTTTTGGGTGAACTGTCTCTTATTCGGGACCATCCTAATACAATTCAAACCGCTTGAAGTGTGTGAGTGTGAATGCGGCGAGCTGAAATTATGTTTAGGAGGGATTTTAGCTGTATTTAGTGCCAGTAATCCACCACTGCACATTTCAGAAGATGGCACTTGTGTTTGTCTGCTGTGGCATTTCATTGACGACTGTTGCCAGGCACCGACATATATTAATGATCAAGTGGGCTGCGTTTATTTCCCGGTCTTCGTGTGATTCATGTTTTTTTGTGTCGCTGCTCCGAAACACCCACAGAGATGATCTGGAAATATCCCATAATTCTCCCACATCTAGAGTCGAGAAGTGAGTTTTGCTTGGTGATTTGTGTATTAAAATGATTAGTCACTGATTATGTGGTTAATGTCGATGTATGTCGAAGTCCTGCTGTCGTTTGTGTGATTATAATAATGCATTTTGAGCCCGCAGATGTTCACCTTAATAATTCAATATTGAATATTGTGCCCCAGAATAATAATGACACTGTTTTTTGTTTGTTCCTTTAGTATTTTGCTTGTAAGTTATTTTGCTTGACTGAAAGACGAGAGTTGTGTGTTACAATGTGCAATCCCTAATAAATATTATTGGCTTACGCGAGCAGAGATGTGGTGTTAATGTGATTTTTTTTGATTTGTTGTTCATTTTTTTTTTTTATAATCATAGGACACAAACATTTATCAATGATGTAAGAAAAAACATAATGACTTATTGTAATAATAATAGTAATAATAAGACCTTCACATTTTTTTGCGTTTAAAGTCTGAACAGTTGCTGAAACTTTTATTCCAGTATGTCAATTTACTTCAAACTGAAAATGAATATTAAGTAGGGGGCGTGGCTTTTACATCATTCCCTCATAGCAAACAAACAAAGGGGGCGTGGCTAAGATTATTGTGGCTGAAGCTTAAACTGATGTCATCAGAAAATGAACCAGTCCAAATGCAGATGCTCAGACTTTGAATATTACCAAAACAAACTTTTTTCAGCAGATTACTGTGCACGGATTACATGTTTAACCTCAGAATAACAATGTGCGCTAGCAAAATAAACATTGTAAATTTCGATTTCACACAGACTTTTAAGTGATTTTTTTGTTAGTTGTATTAAAGCTATGGCTAATTTTTAGAAAGGCAACAGTAACTCAAATAAGCACCTGTCACAACCGAGGTCTGCAGAAGAGCATTTCTGAACACACAACACGCCCAATCTTGAGGCAGATGGGCTACAGCAGCAGAAGACCACACCGGGTGCCGCTCCTGTCAGCTAAGAACAGGAAACTGAGGCTACAATTCACACAGGCTCACCAAAACTGGACAATAGAAGATTGGAGAAACGCCGCACGGTCTGATGAGTCTCCATTTCTGCTGCCACATTTGGATGGTCGGGTAAGAATTTGGCATCAACAACATGAAGGCATGGATCCATCCTGCCTTGTATCAACAGTTCAGGCTGGAGGTGGTGGTGTGATGGTGTGGGGGATATTTTCTTGGCACACTTTGGGCTCATTAGCACCAAAAAAACATCATGTCAGCAGCCAACAGAGTATTGTTGCTGACCATGTCCATCCCTTATGACCACAGTGTACCCATCTTCTGATGGCTACTTCCAGCAGGATAACACACCATGTCATAAAGCGTGAATCATCTCAGACTGGTTTCTTGAACATGACAATGAGTTCACTGTACTCAAATGGCCTCCACAGTCACCATAACTCAATCCAATAGAGCACCTTTGGGGTGTGGAGGAAAGGGAGATTCGCATCATGGATGTGCAGCCGACAAATCTGCAGCAACTGCAGGATGCTTCCATGTCAATATGGAGCAAAATCTCTGAAGAATATTTCCAGTACCATGTTGAGTCTCTGCCAGGAAAGATTAAGGCAGTTCTGAAGGCAAAAGGGGGTCCAACCCTGTACTAGGAAGGTATACCTAATAAAGTGGCCAGTCAGTGTATATTCTCTCAAAACGTTTACATTTACTGCCACAATACTCTTTCGTGCTCTTTTGTTACATTTATGTATTAGAAACTAATGTGTACCATAAATATGTACTCATTTGTATAATTGTTTCATTTGTATTCATGATTTATGTATCTAACGTTAATAAAAAACTAAAAAATATACTGCCACAACAAATATGGCGGTTTGCTTAACCCACACATGCTGAACTGACCAATCAGAGCGCGAGCTCCTGTCAGACTAATATCCAATCACAAGGCTCATCTTGCTTCTTGAAAACATGTCGCCCATGAAGCTGTGTGTTCCAGGTGGGTCGCTGTTATTCACATGTTTTTTGGGGGATTACTTTTATGTTTGGCGTCTTATTGCTGACATATCTTGGCTATGTGTTGATCCTTTATGCATATAGTGACATTTTATGAGCTTTGATGTAAGTTGCGGATAGTTTTGCGTCTCGAAGCGTTCACGTGTACTGCTGTAGGGCTGAATCGTCAGCACGCGCGACTGTTATGACGCTGTAAACAAGTCTCATGTCTTCGACTTCAGTCAACATATGCCAATAAAGATGCTATTTTAGCTGATTGCAAGCACACTGTAAATAATCGCGTTTGTGGATGAGTTTGTGGGGTTTAAAGACTCGTTTGGCGAGCCCTGCCCACCGCCCGGGGCTGTCATGCATACCTGCCCTCAAACACTCGCTCTTCTGCCTCTACACGATCCGCTGACGCGATCTGCTCTCATCACTTTAGGCTTGATTTGCTTCAGGAAATCCAGATTTATGATGTTTATTTGTGGACTGCATTTGTAGCTGAATATAATTGCAACTCTTCGTTTAGTCGGGAGTGGAAAGTCTCGTAATCACTTACTAGCTAGATATGCACTAGTGTAAATGTATATACACTTATATACACTTAGCCAGAGCTTTTGTGTAAGAGGTTTTGTTTTAGTTGAAATGTAAACCTGCTTGTTTTTGTTAATGGACTATTTTGTTGTAATGCATTTATTTATTATTATTTTATCATTCTATTATTTTATTATATTTATTATTTTATTTTTCATTATTTAAAATAGTTATAATATTTGACATATATTGACATTAAGTGTGTGTGTGTTACAAATTGTATATAAATTTAAATATCTATCTTTTCAAAACTGTTTTTTATGTTTCACATGTACATAATATATACATGTTTAACACACGCACATAAAAATACTACTGAAGAAAACATTAAAGGAAATACTTTGAAAATGCCTTTGGTCTATTAAACATGGTCTGGGAAATATTTGAAAAATATGAAATATTGAAATATTTCACATAACTGTACCTTTATCATACTTATTTCTTGGCTGAAATAAGCATTCATAGTAAACAGACCAAATCTCATGTCCTAATCATAAAGTCACTATGTTATAAGTTTATTACAATTATTATGCAGTTAATAGACTAATTTTAACATGTCAGCTTGAGGCCAAACTGTGGATGTGTTTGTGTTCGTCATGGCTTATAGACTCTCTATTATGACAGCAGTACTGTACATGATTTATGCATTTTTCTGTAGCATGCCTCACGTGTGTGTGTGTGTGTGTGTGTCCTGCAGGCGAAAGGCTTTGCAGCACAGAGGACTGTATTCCTGGTACAGGCACGTATCTGCGGCACGGCTACATCTTCGCTTCACTAGCAGGATACGTGCTGAGGAAGAATGAGGGAGAGGAGGTCAGTTCACCTCTGCTGCTCTCATGCAGATTAAATTTCAGCTTAGAAGTCCATGTTTCTTCATAACCGAGTACTTAATTTTCCTCCCGACTTGATTTCTAGTTGCCGGTGATTTCAGTTGTTAGAGAGACAGAAGCGCAACTTTTGCCTGACGTCGGTGCGATCGTCACCTGTAAGGTATATCGGTTTTGATATATCTTAATCTGTCACATGTGTCTTTGTTAGCCATTTACAGATTATTACGAAAGTTGAAGAAACACAGTTTTTGGGCAATAAGCTCATTTTACAGCTCTCCTGAAGTTAAACAAGTGAGTTTGACCATTTTTGAATCCATTCAGCTGATCTTCAGGTCTGGCTGGAGCTCTTTTAGCTTAGCTTAGCATAAGTCATTAAATTGGATTAGACCATTAGCATGTTGCTGCAAACATTATTTAAACATTTATATGATATTCCAATTTAAAGGTTGAGTTTTCTGTTGTTACATTAAGTACTAAGACTCACAGAAAATGAAATGTTGCTCTTTTTTTAGGCTGATTTGGTTATAGGGACTATACACTCATTCCGGCGTAATAATCAAGAAACTTTGCTGCACCATGGATACAGCAGAAACAATGATATTATGCATCGCTGTTACCCTGCTGGTGTTGTTTTAAGGTGCTTTTCATCATCATTGGTCCTGCTTCACTCATTGGTACAGCGGCAAATTTCTTTGTTCATACACCAGTATGAGAGTATAGTTCCTATAACCAAATTGGTCTAGAAAATAGCAACTTTTAATTTTTCGTTGGTCTTGGTACATGATGCAGTTATAAAAGGGTCAAGCTTTAAATAGGTAAATGATCAAAACTCCTTACTCAATTTTGCATGAAATGCTAATGGACTAATCTGATTTAATGATCTATGCTAAGCTAAACTAAACGTGTTCTGGAGATCGGCTGAATTGATTCAAAAATGGTAAAACTCTTGGAGAACTATAAAATGAGCCTTTTCAATAAAAGTAAAGTGTTCCTTTAAGGTTTCGACTGCATGTGTGTTGTACTTTGTTCAACTGTAATTTATGACTGTATTTATGTATTGAAAGTGTATTGAATATGCATGTTTTTCCTCACCCTTTCCAGGTGACGAGTATCAACCCAAGGTTTGCTAAAGTGCACATCTTATATGTGGGTTCGACACCGCTAAAGGACAGGTTCAGAGGCACAATCAGGTACAGATGTTTGCATATCAGTAAATCTGCTATTATAATATACAGTGATCCCTCGTTAATCACTGGAGTTACACTCTAAAAATAACCTGCAATAGGTGAAATCCGAGAAGTAGTATTATTGTTGTATTATTAATTATTCTAGATGTTTTAAGGCTGTGAAACCCCTCACGACACTCCTTTTTCCAGATAGGCATTAATATTTTCACACTTTTCTTTCTTGTTTAAACATTCCCGTAACTTCTACCATACTTAAGCAGTTCAGAAGTTTTACTTTTTGTGAGATGGTTAGCATCTTCCTTTGCCTTTTGTGTGCTAACACAGGTAAATGTTTCGTCGATATTATTGGGTTTGTTGGGGAGAAAACTTGCAAACATGAAGTACAGCACTTCTGAGACACACTGCTAACGATCGAAGATTTATGTAAATTTGGCAAGCTGAATGCATTCTAAGAGCTCGTTTCTGTGCCTGACGATCAGGTTGTCTTGGTCTTAACCTTCTACCACCACCCATTCCACAACGCACCGGCCTCTTAAGTCTCCCCCTGCATGTGGTGCAGGAGGAGGGTCCCACATTGCTCCTTCAGACTAAAACCCATGGGAAAAAACCCGGCCACCAGGCGCTTGCATACGAGCCCCAACCCCAGGCCTGGCTCCAGGCTGGGGTCCCGGCTGCGCCATACCGGCGACGTCACGGCCCTTAATGTTTTTGTACTCATAAGGAGTTTTTGAACTGCAGTTAGTCTGACCTGTTACCAAAGACCTTTTTGCCTTGGGAGATCCTACCAGTAGCATTAGCCCCAGACAACAGAAGTCTTAGGATCACTCAGGCACTCCACCACGATAAGGTGGCGATTCATAGAGGAGATTAACCGATCAATCTATGTTCCTACTTTCACCCATGGTCATGAACATTGGGTCATGACCGAAAGGACAAGATCTCGGATACAAGCGGCCGAAATGAGTTTCCTTCGCAGGGTGCACTCTTATGGATATGGTGAGGAGCTCTGTTACCCAGGAGGACCTCGGAATAGAGCTGCTGCTCCTCCACATTGAGAGAAGTCAGCTGAGGTGGCTCAGGCATCTGTTTCGGATGCCTCCTTGACGCCTACCTAGGGAGGTGTTCCAGGCATGTCCCACTGAGGAGACTTCTGGGAAGACCCAGGACATGCTGGAGGGACTATGTCTCTCGGCTGGCATCGGAACACCTCGGAATCCCCTCAGAGGAGCTGGATCTGGGGTTCTCCCCTAATACTGCTGCCCCTGCAACCTGGCCTCGGAAAAGCGGCAGAAAATTAATGAATGAGTGAATGAGTGCATTTTGTACTGTACAGGAGACGAGACAGCGAGGAGCTTATTTGACAGTGGTCTACAGCCAATCAGGACCCATAACACAATGCGCTGATCAGGAGGCAGAACACAATTCACTGTAAATAAAGCATGTCAAATTGCAGGAATAAAAAAAATCGGCGCGAAAGGTGAACCGCCTTACAGTGAGGGATTACTGTATATGAAATTTGACTTTAATAACTTGTTGTGTAAATATACGAAGTCAGATCTGCTCAACTCTAATGTTTTAAATTCTGTAGAAGAGAAGATGTGAGAGCGACAGAGAAGGATAAGGTGAGTTCATGGAAAATATAGATGTTTTTATTTATATTTAAATATAAAGTATTCCTCAATATGAGTAGTCAAAAAAAAGATATGGGTTAAAGACAAAACATATTCTGGTGTCTGCATCATTAAATTTACAAGAAAAAAAATATGGGTTTTAAATATTAGAAAAATGTTCAGTTTGATTGTTATATTTAAATATCCAGTGGTTTGAAGGATAATGGAAAAGAATTGTTAAAAATATATATTAAAACTATAAAAATGTAAACCTGTAATGCTCTATTTTTTAGATAGAACCTTCTATCTTAAGGTCATGCTAAAAATGTATCCTAATTATAATATTTTGACCCTTATGCAATGCGATGTATTGTGTTTCTGAAAATGTGTTGTTGTTCTCAGGTGGAGACGTACAAAAGCTTCAGGCCCGGCGACATTGTCCTTGCAAAAGTGGTATCCTTTACACTGTATGAGCAGTTTCTGCTGTTGTAGACTCGGTTGTGTTGTTCATGACCCTTGACCTCGGCTGTCAGATCTCTTTGGGTGACGTGCAGTCGAATTACCTGCTGACCACAGCGGAGAACGAGCTGGGGGTCGTCGTGGCTCACAGCGAGGCCGGTGAGAGAGCTGAAATCAGAATCAAAGGGTTTTTGCTTGTTAGCATCAGTGTGTTAGTCTGTGTGCTCCAAAACAAAGACAAAATATACATTCAGAACATGCAGTTAATCACTTTTCTCAATATGGATCAATGATGGTAGTGCACTTTTGCTTCCCATCAGATTTTCTGACCAAGCAGATGCTCTAAAGTATCTGAAGATTCAAGACCAGACTAAAATCAGTCACTTATTCAATTGTAAACAAGCATTACTGAGTGTTTGCCTAAACAATGCATATATAAGAAAATACGTCACACTAACAAAGCTAATGCACATGAAATAGTAGGACTATATATAGAAATTTTTGCTCGTACCACTAACACGCTCTGAAATGTGTACCCGCAGGCGCGCAGATGGTGCCCGTCAGCTGGTGTGAGATGCAGTGTCCTCGCACACACTCCAAAGAGTTTCGCAAAGTTGCACGGGTACAGCCGGAGTACCTGCAGGCCTGACCACGCCCCTGACCACACCCACTGGAACACACAGCTTCAAAAACACGCCCATTGGAATGTAAAGCTTCAAAGACATGCCTTTTGGAATGCATGGCTTCAAAGACACGCCCCTGACCACACCTACTGGGGGACACAGCTTCAAAGACTCGCCCATTCAAATATAAACCTTAAAGACATGCCTATTGGAATGCACAGCTTCATAGATACTCCCCTGACCACACCCACTGGGAGGGACACAGCTTCAAAATACACGCCCATTCAAATATAAAGCTTCAAAGAAATGCCTCTTGGAATGCACTGCTTCAAAGACACGCCCCTGGCCACACCCACTGGAAGATACAACTTTATAAACACGTCCTTGGCCACACCCACAACTTCAAAGGCACGCTTATTGGAACAGTTTTTAAAACACGGCCCTGACCACACCCACTATAATGCAAAACTTGAAGAACATGCTCTTGACCACACCTACTGGAAAATAAATCTTCAAAGAGACGCCCTTTAAAATCCACAACACGTCATTGGCCACACCCATTGGAACGCACGGCTTCAAGGCCATGCCTCTGGCCAGACCCACTTCAATGCGCAGCTTTAAAGACACACCCCTCTCCACACTCACAGGAACATGCAGCTTCAAGGACACGCTCATTAGAACGCACAACTTTAAATACACGCCCCTGACCACACCCACTTCAATATGCAGCTACAAAGACACCCTGACCACACACTGGAACACAAAACTTCAAAGACATGACCCTGGCCACACCCACTGCAACCCAAAACTTCAGACACGTCCCTGACCACACCCACTTGTAGGCGCAGCTACAAAAGACATGCCCCTGACCACACCCACTTCAACCCAAATATTTAAACTCTCTTCAAAGACATGCCCACTGGAAAGAAACTTTAGGCACGCCGCTTACCACACCCACTGCAACAGCTTCAAAGACATGACCATTGGAACAAAACTTCAAAGACACTCCCCTGGCCACACCCACTGGAAGGCACCGCTTCAAAGACATGCCAACTGGAACAAAACTTGAATGACATGCCCCTGACCACACCCACTTGAATGTGCAGCTTCAATAACATGTCCCTGGCCACACCCACTGCAACAGCTTTAAAGACACGCCCCTGACCACACTTGCTTCATAGACACGCTCCTGACCACACCCACTGGAATGTGCAGCTTCAATAGCATGTCCCTGGCCACACCCACTGCAACAGCTTTAAAGACACGTCCCTGACCACACTTGCTTCAAAGACACGCCCCTGACCACACCCACTAGAATGCAAAACTTCAGACATGTCAACTGAAACAAATCTTAAATGACACGCCCCTGACCACACCCAATTTAATGAGCAGCTTTAAAGACACGCCCCTGACCACACCCACTGCAACAAAAAAACTTCAAAGATATGTCCATTGAAATATACAGCTTCAAAGACACGCCCCTGACCACACCCACTTGAATATACAGCTTCAAAAGACATGCCCCTGACCACACCCACTTGAATAGCAGCTTAAAAAAAAACACGTCCCTAACCACACCCACTGGAATTCAAGGTGTGAATCTGGCTCTTCCCGTCACATTCCACACTGCCCTGCGAATGCAAACTACACACAGTCAGAGCATCACATGACCACGATCTGAATGTAGTTGCATACCTAAGCAGTATTCAGATGCTCTGACACACCTGAGACTGTAAGATCACACACTTTCAACGCCATTACAAGCTCAGAAACTATTTCATGACATGTACACAGACCTCCTGAGGGAACGTTCAAGAGCTTTGAGTTCGAGTAAATCCTTTCGAAAGCTTGCCAATAGGTCACATTTCATCCCACTGATCCAAAATGATTAGCATGAAGCCACTTTGAGGTATTGTTTGCATTGTGATGGTTTCAGTAAAGCATATTCAGTATATAGCCTGAAATTCTCAGCACTGTAATGCATCACAAAGGGTTGCTTTTGTAATCATATATATATATATTATTCTCACTGATGAATGGTATAGTTTAAGTACTACTACATGCTTATACATTAAGCACTAGCACTAATTTACAGGAGAATTAGGTTATAAAATGTGCTTGAAAGTATTATTAAATATGCAAATGATCTTTTAAGTGAGTGAGATATGACACTGGCAAGCTTTCGTGAGGTTTACTCTCGTGTATTATAGTCTGCATTTGATACAGATGTACATAAACAGAGCTTAGGAAAGCCAACTGGTAGACTTTTGTGTATTTTTTGTTGCAAGATTTGAAGTGTATAGAGCAATAACATCTGGCGGCGCAGTTTTCTAACTCTTTAAAGCACATGATCCGCACAAATAGTCACTAAGAGATGACTTTGTTTACCTCTTGCTGCTTTTATTCAGAACTTTTGGAAATATGTCTTATGTTGATATCTTTTCCTCATTCTGTCCTTGTGTCTGTAACTGTTTTGAGAGGTCATGTGTTTACGAGAGTAAAAATAAAGTGTTTATTAACACAAGTTTTGTTTGTGTTTTCTTAAAGGAGAGCTATTATGGCCATTTTACAAGTATCTGTTGTCCCTAGAGTGAGGTTTTTAGCTCAAAACACCACACAAATAATGTTGTATAACTCTTTGAAATTAACCCTTTTAGGATGTGACGGTTTGGTGAGTCGCTTTAAATGCAAATGAGATTGTGCTCTTTTCAAAACAGGGCGGAGCTACAAACGCCTGTGTGTCAGCATAGTGGCAGATTCAAAAACAAGACTAACTTCCTATGCTAATGAGGGAGAGATGGTGACTAGTAGGCGGGGCTTCCCCCTCTGATGACATCATACAAAGGGAAAATGTCAATCAAAGTGTTTCTGTAGACTGTTTTCATCAAGTGTGATTATAAATAATAAAATTAATCACTTTTTATCATAAGAAGCTGCTTATATTCAAACACTGCTGCCATAAAACGGCTTAAATTACTTATAAAGTGATTTTTGCATAATATGTCTCCTTTAACTTGTGTTAACGAATTAATTTAGGTTTAATATTGCACGGGTAAAGCCGCCTTTCCGCTGCACACAATATTCGAACACGACTGTCGGAATACACCCCCTTGTGGAAGCCGCACAGAATTTTTTGTTTTGTCGTGCACCGTGGGAGAGAAGATGGATTCTCAGTGTCCAAAATAATAAAGGAGTGGAAAAGCAAGAGCCTTTATTCTTCGTGCGTTCACCATGATTGAATGAATGAATACTAGAAACTCGTTGACATCTTTTGGAGGGAATGTGGAGACAACATAAAAAAAAAAATTTTATTACTCAATTATTAATAGAAATGTTTTTTTTAAATTAAAAAAATTATGAAAAAAAAAAAAAAAAACAGTATTTTTTATCTTGCGTGCACATGGACCTGCTTGGACAACACTGAAATACATCACATTCGGTCGACCAGTCGTATACAGTCTAGTCGCAGGAGTTTAAAAATTTTGATGGATTCGCAGCTCAACTCGGATCAGAATTTTCTGCATACTGATGCCTCCTTTCCACTGCACACGACAAGTGACAGACCGGAATTCATTTATTTCTAATGGAGAGTAGTCCTGGAGCTGTGTGGAGTTCCGATCATCTCCGTATGCGGAAAACTCGGATCCGATTTAAGCTGCAGATACGTTAAAATATTTGAACTCCTGTAACTAGACCGTATTTGACCGGTCGACTAGATGTGAGGTATTCCAGTGTTGTCCAAACAGATCCGTGGGCGCGAGATAAGAAATAGTAGTTTTTTGGTTATTTTTTGAATTATAAAAAGTTTATATATATATAAAAAAAAATTCCATTCATAAATAAAAAATATTTTTTATGTTGTCTCCACATTTCCTCCAAAAGTTTTTAGGGGCCCATTAATTTCTAGAATTCATTAATTTATCCATGGTAAAAACACAGAATAAATGTGCACGACAAAACTGAATATTCAGTGTGACTGCCACAAGGGGGCGTACTCCGACAGTCATGTCCAAATGTCTTGTGCAGGGGAAAGGTGGCTTGGGATGATCAGAATGGTTGTTGCTAGATCAGATATGGTTGCGACCGGAAGTTAACGAGAATTATTAATATTATTTATTAAATTTCCTATTTATTGTATTTTATTAACGTCTACCCTCACCCCAATCCTAAACCCAATCGTCACAGTAACGTAAAAAGGTAGTTGTACCGAGTATTATGAATGTATGTTATCAATTAAATTACCCAATCAATTTTATTTTTAAGGTCTACCCCCACCCTAAACCCAACCGTCACAGTACAGGAAATAATAATTATTGTTTTACAGTGTCATTAAAAAATGCTTCTATATTAATGTGCATATCGCACTTCCGGCCAGCCGAATATCCGATCTAGACTTTACCAATCGGAACTTCACACAGCTCCCGGACTACATTCATTGGAAATGAATGACTCTCAATCTGTTACTTGTTGTGTGCGATGGAAAGGAGGCTTAAGTGTTGAATTATGATTAATAAATGCTTGACAAGTTAGTAAATACATTAATTAATAAAACCTTTTTCTAAAGTGTGACCCAATTATTATCTCGACTAGTAAAACATTAAATTAGTACAATCCCAGGTATGACCCACATAAACACTCTTAATTCAGTGTCTTTATTCAGCCTGTTCAGTTTTGTAGCCTCTTTTGTTTCATTTGGAAAATTCATGAATAATTGAAACATTTCAGATATTTTCTGTACATCCCTGAGGAACAAAACCCCAAATAATGACACAGATTCAGATTCCTCAAAAATATACACCAGTATTTCATAAACCCATTTGATTCAAGCATAAAAAGAAAATGGATCTACTTAAAAATTACTTTTTGTCATTCTTTTCTGCTCCTTTTTGGCGCTTAACAGATGTGCCCCTAAAGCGACAGTTTACCCAAAAATCTAGATGTGCTATTTACTCTCTCTAAAGTGGTTATAAACATTTATGGGTTTATTTCTTCTGTTGAACACAAAAGAAGTCTTTTTAATACAGGCTCATGATGGTATCAATATTTCTAGCTTTTATCATGATATACAGAATTAACACAATATTGACCTTAAATACAAAAAAATGGGTTACTATACCAGGTATAATAAGCAAAAATATTTAGTGTATTGATGCATGTTCAGAATAAACAAATGCTTCAATTGTAAAAGCATTATAAAGCACCACAGGTAACACTTTATGATGCTCTCAGTATTGAATATTACATAATGGAATAAAAGTGATGATGAAAAAAATATAGATTACAGTTATTATATAAATATTAGTTTAAAAAAAAAAACTGAAATTTATTAGTTTAAATTTATTAATTTAGTTATTAACTGCATTTAATCAAGTGTTTACCACGGATTGTGACTATGATATTAATGCATTATAGGGCATTAACATCAGCTCATTCATTCATGTTCTTTCAGCTTAGTCCCTTTACTTGCCACAGCAGAATGAACCACCAACTTATCCAGCATATGTTTTACATAGCAGATGCCCTTCCAGCTGCAAATCAGCACTGGGAAACATCCATACACACTCATTCATACACATACACTACGGCCAATTTAGTTTATCCAATTCCCCTATAGCACCTCTTCGGACTGTAGGGAAAACTGGAGCCTCAGAACACGGGGAGAACATGCAAACTCCACACAGAAATAGCCTAGTGGGACTCAAACCAGCGACCTTCTCGCTGTGAGGTGACAGTGCTAATCACTGAGCCACCGTTGGCCTTAACATCAGCTAATATTTATAAAGTTTTTATAGTTTCCATCAGTTTAGTTAAATTGACTCGTTTACTATTGGAGCCTTATTACAGTGTTCATGTACAACAGCCCTATAAACAATAACCGAATTTATAGAACTATTTTTTAGGGTTTTTCACCTTTAAATTGGATAGAACAGTAGAGGTTACAGACAGGAAAGTATTGGAAGCAGAGAAAGAGGAAGGGTCGGCAAAGGACCTCAAGCCAGGAGTTGAACTTAGACGTTGGCACACTTAAACACTAGGCTATTGGCACCGACCAATCTATCAACACATTTTTAATTTATATGTCAGCGTGTAGTGGGCCAGATTAACATGCGGATATATTCATGTTTAAACTTTTAAGCTAATTAACCAGTTAAATCTCCAATAGGCATGGGATGATAACTGTTTTTAAGGTATACTGCGGTTTGGAAAAGTCAAGGTTTTAAAACTGTCAAAATTTTCTGCAATACCTTTCCTATAGTATGTGTACAATTTTTTTTATTCACTTTTTGTTTTTTTGTTTTTAGGAAAACAATAGCGCCAGCAGAATATAGATCCAAAGATGCCATTTTAAATGGTAAAAAAGAAAACTAATGAAACCATCAGAAGTCAATAATTCATTTAAATTATTCAGTTTGACATGTCTACTGCTCCAAAATATTTATTTTGGATTTTTGGATTTTGAGTCATAAAATAAAATATATTGTGTTTAAAAGGGGAAAAAGTTTTAGTTTTTTACCCAGACATTTAAAAAATATACATTTTAAAGCAGTGACCACAATACCGTGATACTGTGAAACCGTGATTTTTTTCCCCCAAGGTTATCATACCGTCAGAATCTTACACCGGCCCATGCCTAACCTCCAAGCATAATGAACACCACAGCAAATACAATCTGAATATTTCTACAAAACACTCTAAAAGTTGTTCATATTCATGATCATAACATTTTGACTCATTTGAAGAAAGCTGAAAACCTGTAACCATTAACTTTAATAGTAGGAAAAACAAATGGAAGTCAATGGTTACAGATTCCAACATTCTTCAAAATATCTTCTTTTGTGTTCAATGGAAGAAAGAAACTCAAAGGTTTGAAACAAGTAAAGGATGAGCAAATGATGACAGAATTTGTATTTTTGGGTGAACTGTCCCTTTAAATGAGTCCTTAAAAATAATGTGGGTTTGTGAATAATTTATTATTCAGTCGTCGAATCGTATGGAGTTTCGTGCATTAGTATCAATCGCAAACTTCTTATTGGACGGCGCACTGAAGCCCAACCCGGCTCCTTTATTCCTGAAGTCCATGTGGCGGTTTTGTGCGCGCTCAAACTCTCCCAGAAGGCCTTGCTGTAACGTCTGCTGTCCTTCTTTGCCCATGGCCATGTTGAGGCGGCCGGCGGACTCGTTCCCCGTCTGAGTGCTCTTCTTAAAGCCTCCCATCAAGCGCAGGAACTTGGCTTGTCTGTCCGAGCTGTCGAAGCTCGCCGTTCCCCACTGCCCAAAAGCCTTCAAACAGCGATGACATCAGATTAACACTCATTCATTCACATTAAAGGGATAGTTCAGCCCAAAATGACAATTTGCAGCTAATTTATTCACCATCAGGTTATACAAGATGTACTTTGTTTGTTGAGTAGAATCAATATTAAAGAAGATTTTCAGCTGAACTTGTGGTCTTTGGTGTAATACTAGTCAATAGCTGTGTTTCTATACATCTATTGTTATGCTCATTTCGGATTATCACATTAAAAAATGCTTGATGGAAATGGCTAGATGTGATTAAATAAAAAAATAATGCACATAAAACAATGTGTTGCCATAACTGAGTAGGAAAAACTTTTTATTTGATAAGAAAGAATGCACATAAACTACAATGGAAACACATTTACTGAATAAATTACAGTGTGCAAATTAAAAAAGTCATGTAATTTGGTTTAAAGAGATCACGTGGTGATGAAAATTGGTGCGATGGACAGTATTATGTGACAGACCAGCATTTCAAGCTCATTTAAATGTTAACACATTTGAAATGTTGTTTATTTCTAAAATCTCTCAGCTAAAGTCTGCCATCAAAGTGGCTCAGTATTACTATTATTCTATTATTTTTCCCTCCAGAACTGTCTTGAGCATCTGTCTGCGCTCCCAAAGAGCTTCTCATGCCTCCAAAAGCCACAGCATGTTTATTACATCTCGTCTTCTGAGGCGCAACTCATTTATTATATCAGAAAAAGGCCCACAGTGGCAATTAGTAGACTGATTTGTAGTTTATGGTTTCCGCTACATTCATTCTTCCAAAATTCATTCCGCCACGGCTACATTACAGCTTCTCATTCAACATTATATTTTTTTAATAGCGGGTAATAATCGCACCAAAACGTATTAAAAGGTAAGTGAATTTTAACAGCGCAAACTTTTCTGTAACCGTAGTGCTGTACGTCATTTGTTAAAACCTTTAAGGTTACGTGCTGACTGACTGACAGGTGCATGATGCGTGAGGCCAGCAAACACGACGTTTAGCAGTTTTACTTTACTTCAGGATGCATTAATACTGCTAAGTAGGTATTGGATACTTTCATGAATATTCCCAGCAAATATATCAAATGTTGGAGACATACTCGTTACATAAACGCTGCTGAAGTGCGATTTAGTGCGTTTATTTGAGAGCGCACGTGAAAATTTGCGTGCTCTTGAAGCAGCTATTTGAGTGAGCGTCCAAGAAGTTTTGTGCATGAGTAGAGGAAATCGGTGCGCAAGCAAAGAGATCCGCATGCTCGTAGGCTATCACATAAATGCGATCTCGACTTCCAATACTGCGCTCTTGACATTTGTCATTTGAAATAACGCCACAGGTAGTTGTTAAATCTGTGTAAAAAAAAAAGGCCTGCCGCCACAGCTGGAAAAAAAATCCAAGAGGAAACACTGTAGTTTAAATGTCACTCATTTTCCCTCTATTATAGTTTTGGGTATTTGGCACCAGTTTATCAGGAAGTAACGATTTTGTTCCCTTTCACTCATTGGATGGAAATGCTGCTTTATTTACGATATTCCAATTAATTAATTAACATTTTTGGCTGGAAACATGGGTGGAAACATTAAAAGTAAACACATACATACAAGTCCAAATTAACGACAAAACAATAGAAGGAAAATGACCCTACCAACATGACAAACTACAACTCAGTCTACAATTTGAATCATTAAATCCCCAATAATATCCACTTGAGTAATATATACAGACATCCCACCCTGCAAAAACAAAACTAACATCTTTTCTATGTTAAAAGGAATCTTTGTCCTAAACATTAGTGATGCGAAAAACTTCTGTTTTAGAAGTGCTTTCCATTTACAGTGACAGAACAACAGCATAAACTACCATGACAATGATCACCTCAGATTTAGATTATGTGCTTTATCTAGTGCTACATGCTCCAAATGTGAGTTTGAATATCATTTTAGACATTGATTGTCATACTACTGAAAGCAGAAGCAGATAGTTCACCTCAGATAAAATAAATAATAGTTTGAAAGTGAAAGTCAGAACTGAGACTCAAACCAACAACATCAGACACTCTGTAGCCTATTACTAATGTTAAAGAGGTTTATTATGTCGTTATAATTATGTTATGATTCCAATGTGACGATGTGTTAATTAGATTATAAACCTTAAAGGGTCACGAAACACCAAAACACATTTTTTGAGCTGTTGACAGTCATATATGTGTCCCACACTGCTAAAAACACTATTAGGACACCTATATTTCACTAAAAAGTGTAAATTGGTTGTTTTTGCGTTATTTCAAGCAAATTCGTACTTCCTGTTTGAAACGAATTTTTGAAGCTGCGTCACGGTCATGACATAATAGCGTTCTATTCCAGCGTGCAGACTGGACGTCTGTGCCAGAGTGTGCCTTATTACGTCTTACAGTGTGTTGCATTAATGCATGAGTAAGGGTTGGTTCAAACCAATCAGCGCGCTCTATTGTGCAACTTCATTAATATTCATTAGTGTCACCGTCTTTACACCACAGAGACGCCACGTTGTGTTGGCAAAACAAGCGTGAAGTGTTGCTTTTACAGTTTGCTGCCATTAAGTTTCGTTTTCATTTTCTCTCTGTGAGAGCTCATCTGGATCACGTGTGGATTAACGGTGTACGCGACGCTCGACAACAATAATTTACGTGTCTAAGGAGGATTATTGTTTACCTGAGAGCTGTTCTCATCTGCAAACGCTGAAATCCGGATTCCGGATGTAGTCTTCTCTTCATAAAGACGCGGCTCTAGTTGCTGGTGATTGTCCTGTCTCTACAGATTTGGTAAGTGAGCAACCAGTGCTCTTTGTATATTCAGTTTGTTCGTATCAAATAAGTTAACTATTGCATTGAGTGCAAACATGTTAGCACCGCATTTAGTGACCGGAATAACACACGCGGCTTTCGGACGCTACCTGCCGTGTGCATCTAAGTTTCCGGGAAATGCGGAGTTTTTTTCTCTCTCATTCGCCGTGCGGTATCAAACATTGCATGAAAAATACACGCATAGAGCAGATCTTCGAATCAAATATCTCATTTGTCGCGAGGGGCATGAATGAATTCCCTGAATGAAAGAGCCAAACTGCAGTTAAAGTCCAACATTTAATAATTTGGCAAATAATTCGACTACAGATGTGCATGTAGGTTAAACACCATCCCTTTCTCCTGTGTATTTTGACTGAAACTCGCGCGTGCCCAAATAGACACTCCCACACCCTCCCACTTTAGTTTCTCCGACACTCCCCCCTAAACAGAGCTGGACACCCCCACTTTTCTGACTTTTTCCAAAGAAGAGGTGTGAAAACACCCTGCTGAAACGAGGGGGTTTCATGGCCCTTTAACAAAAGAGCCCAAAACAGAGTCCCCCAAAAAGTTCGTTTTCCTGAGAGGTTTCAAACTGCCAAACAAACCCCCCCCAAAAAACAAACCCTATTATGCCCTTTTGTTGAAGATGTATATCTCTGGTGTCTTCAGCTCAAAATACCACACTAATAATGTTTATAACTCTCTAAAACTGACCCTTAAAGGCTTTGATCCTAATTGTGGAGTTTTGGTGACTCACTTTAAATTCAAATGAGATTGTGCTCTTTTCAAAAGAGGGCGGAGTGTAAATGCCTGCGTGTCAGCATAGTGGCAGATTCAAAAACAAGACTATGCTAATAAGGGAGAAATAGTCACTAGTGGGCGGGGCTTTCCCCCTCTGATGACACATGAGATGACACATGACACAGGAAGAATGTCAATCAAAGTGTTTCTGCAGACTCTTATAATTACACTTTATCAAGTGTAATTATAAAAAATGAAATTAATTTTTTTTTCACCAATTGAAATACACACACTATTGTGTTTAAACCCCTTCTAAAAGTGATTTCTTCATAATAGAAACGTTCTACTGAAGAAATAAAAAAGTCACCTATGTTTTAAATGACCTGAGGGTGACTAAATGAACAGGAAATGTTCATTTTTGGGTGAACTGTCCCTTTAAGACCACAATATACTCAAAGCAAATGTGTAGACTCACTGGCTTAGGTTGTGACTCTTTGTCTATTTCCTTCTGAAGAGCAAGTCGACGAGCCTGTGGAGTAAAAGAGTCCTGTCATTTCATGTCTTGTTAATGTAGTTTGCGTAAAATAATCATCATTTATCTGGTGCTTTACCTGGTCAATAGAAATCTCGTCCTGGTTGCCAGGTTTGGCAGAAAGGAACACAACATCATTCTGAACACAGAGAAAAAAACACAGCAAAATAAACATGCGATGCATTTTAACATCAAATATAATAAAATAGTTAATATTGTCACACTATATAATAAGGTTACTTTAAAGTACATCCAGGTGGTTGTTATTGCAAACTAAAGCCAGACAGGTTTATCAGGAGCTGAAGGGTTTATCATCTAAAAACCACCGGCTAGATGTACTTTATCCTGCTTATTACAGGCTAAGAATTATGCAAAAAACATTGTTATGAGCTGTAATAGTTTATTAATTCTTTAATTAAACCCAAAGCTGACAAAAAATTAAACTGGCTGAATGGAGCATACACTAACCTATGCATTGTTCAATCACAAGATTGCACCAACCGGTCAAAAACAGCTGACGATAGCCTGTAAAAACACTCTTCCTGCCTCAAATATTTATATATTTAAATCAATTTAACTTTTCTTGTCATCTAAATTTTAATAGAAATATTACGTTCACTTTGTATAGCTAAAAACAATTAATAAAAATGAACCAATTAACTTATTAAATTAAGTTAAAGTAACAAAAGCATTTGTTGTAATGACTTTTTATCATACAATTTCTTACAGTGTATATATGATACCATTTTAAAGCTTAGAATCGCTATTTTCTGCTAATTCATTTTAATAACCTTAAATGTCACAATAAAAAATATATAAAATATACATCATTTTGAATATTGTTTTACTGTAAGAAATGTATTTAGATTAAATGTACACCCCCGCCCCACATACAAAAATATTTATCACGTTCAGCAACTTGTTATATAATTCCGAATAGTTTTTTGTTAAATAACGCTCAGATTTTGCACTGCATAAAATTAAAAATATTGAAATATACAGAACTAAAAATGACCGAAACTACATGCACATGAAAATATTATTAAAAACTAATTTTAATTTTAATAAAATCTAAAAATACGATTCTAATAATGTGACGAACTCAAATATCGACGCTGACACTCAAATTAAACATTAACATAGTGATGTCACACTCTCAAGAGCCAATCAGAAGCCTCGGTTTCTCTCCATCAGAATAAAACTCACCGCTCTGCTTGCGGTTTTCCTGAAGTATTCCTCAGGATCTGCTTTAAGAGTTTTATTTGTATTTTTCCCTGAGCTCTTGTTATTGTTGTCTGTCCTCTCCGGTTTCTCCTCAACATCATCATCAGCCTCGGTCTTGCCTTTATTTTTCTTCTTCTTCTTCATCTTTTTATCCGATGAGTTCTCTCCATTGGCGTCGGGAAGACTCTTACTTTCTAGTTTCTTCTTCTTCTTCATCTTTTTATCCGATGAGTTATCTTCATTGGCGTGAGGAAGACTCTTACTTTCTAGTTTCTTCTTCTTCTTTTTGCTTTTTTTCTCAGGCTTTTCATTAGAGCTGATGTTTTCCGGCGCTTCTTCTACTACTGACTGTTTCTTCTTCTTTTTTTTCACCTTGTGCTCTACCTCTACGCATTCGTCTACATCTTTCTTCCTTTTCTTTTTCTTAATCACTCCGTCCTCCACCTCTGCGTTTAGTTCTTGTTTTATGATGTCCTCCTCTAGTTTTCTCTTTCTTTTCTTCTTTTTGTCGTTTACCGTCTCCACAGCTGGTCCTAAATCAGCCTCTTCTTCTTCTTCTTTAACCTCAGTCTCCTTTTTCTTCTTCTTCTTCTTTTTTATACCTTTCACAAGGGAAAATGTAATAATTCAATATATAGTGATAATAAAAATCCACAACAATCCACTTCAAAATACTGTGAATAATTATTTATTACTTAAACTTTAAGTGTTTTTAAAAGAATATTCAGATTGTTGCATTAGTGATTGTTCATCACATAACTAAATGTGTAAAGGCTGGTTTATACTTCTGCGTTGACCGATCTCCATGACCCAGGGCGCATGCCTTGCTCATAGTTTGTGCATTTATACTTCTGCATGCTGTTTGTGTTGCTCTGCATGAGCACGTCTCAAACACTAGCTGGCATCAGGTTTTTATGTTCCTCTGTGTCAAGTTTTCTTCACGGGTGTTTTGTTTTATCTGAATGCTTCCTTAAATGTACAAGTAGCTAAAACTCGCTCATTTAGAGGCAGGAACGAGGACGTGCAACAACTTTAATCATAAGTTACACACAAAACAAAAGTTTCCATCAGGGGTCCGTTCTTCGTCCGTGGATTACTCAAATAGTGGGATTTGATTATTAACAATTTGACATGATCCAGGATCGTTTTCTTTCTTCCAGACATTTTAATCTGACTCGTCAACTTGTTTGAAAAACCAAATTAGCCAGAGATCAGTTATCAAGATTAAAAGATCCAGGATCTGCCAAATCATCTTAGATAATTTAAGCGAGGTACGTAGAACGGACCCCTGGAGCTCAACACTTATAAACACTCACTCCATCGACTTGCTCTCAGCACTGACTACACTTGTCAAATCTACCAAACCGACCAATTAAAGAGCTTACGCTACGTGTTAATTCGACGTGTAGTTAGATTCTTTAAGAGGTTCGCATCAGTGTCAGCCTCAGTGAGGGCTATACAACCGCGCGAAGGCTGCAACGGACCATACGCGTGCAATTGACGCAGAAGTATAAATCAACCTTAAATAAACATTACTATTTTCATATATTAATTTGGTCTATGTGGTGTATTGGGATAATGTGCGTTTGTAATGATCTGGATGTTGGTCTGGCAATTCATTGGTTCTCGACAACTATTTAAGCCATGTGATGTGTTGTTGACGTTGTTGATATACAAAAGTAAAGCACACTTGATGGCATTTCTTGGTGTTTGCCTCCTAATTATACAGTCTACAAGATTCAAGAAATGATGACTTAATATCTATGGACTATTTACAGCACGATTGCTTGTTAATAATGTACCCATTTGTTAACATTAGTTAATTTAAACTCACAAACATAAAAAAATCCTAGATGATGTTTACTTCTTAGTTAATGCACAATAAGGCACTAAGACCAAACAACATAACTTTTTTATGAAATAGAATTAACTATATTTAATGTTTTTATTATTTTATATCATTTTAAAATTGTTGAGGGGGTATTAACTAAATTTAGCATAGTAAAAATGTGGCTATTGCTTACTGATTTTAACGCACTAACCAATGTTAAAGAGTTAGTACAATTCTATTGAGACTTCAATGTAAAATGTTCTGTACAGTAATTTATAATTGCAAATTGTTTTTCAATTTTTTGTTTATTTTGACCATTACACCAGGTAATAAAATACTGTGATAAAAGCTTCAACAATTAAATCATAACCAGAAACTCAATAAATCTACCTTCTACTGCCTCGTCTTTTTTTACTTTCTTCTTCTTGGACACTATATGAGCTTCCTCCTGGATCTGTTCCTCCTCCTTTATCTTCTTTTTCTTCTTCTTTGTCTTTTCAGGAGCTACACTATTATTTGTGTCTATTTGTTCTGTTTTTACAGTTGTCTGAACAGATACGTCGCAACTCTCCACCAAAGAATTGTTTGCATCCAACTCTTGTTTTAATTTCTTCTTCTTCTTCTTCTTTTTCTCCCCTCCATCGTTTACATCGAGCAGCTCCTGTTTAATAGCAGTCTGGACGGAAACATCATGACACTTGACAGAATCTGTGTTTTCTTCTTCTTCCTTCACCTTTATTTTCTTCTTCTTCTCTTTAGCCAACCTACCGACTGCCATGTTTTTCTAAATTAAATGAAATTAAACTGTCAATCAAAAGCAATCTGACAATCTTATCATTGTCCTTTTTGCTTTTATCATCCCTTTCATTGGTTTTCTTCACTCATTTCTGATTCTAGATCAGTCTTCACCATCTGGAAAACACACAGAAGCATTATTATTTCTAAAAGATTTCTTATAAACATTACATTATATTGATAAGTGATTACAGAATAAGCAGATTTATGAGCATTTTGCATTATTGTTATTTTTACAAATACATATGCATCTGCATTAGGGCTGCACAATATATAGTTATAGAATCGATATTGCAATGTGATCAATCGCAATAGTCACAAAACCAGTATACGCAATGTTGAGTTGATGTTTTTCGAGGCATGTGACTGTATAAGGGTTTTAAAAGGTGTTCAGGCACCTAATAATGATTAATTTTATTGAATTGCTCATACAACGAAGACTACATTAGTTAATTATTTATTTATTTATTTGTTTGTTTGTTTGTTGTCATGTCAGCTACTAAGGCTATTTTCATGGCAAGAGCATTTCAGTAATTAACTAACATCAACAGTAAAAAAATAAATAACAAAAAAACAAATAAAAAATAAAAATAAAAAAAACAGTCTAGTAGAAAAATTAGCTAAACCTAGTGTCGCAAAAGCATTAAAATAGTATTAAAACACAACCAATGTTTATTTTTGGCTATATAAACCATCGTTACACCGAATTACATTTTGGTTACTGTCTTTTGTTTATCGTACTAAAATGTATTCGGTAAACAAACTGTAAATAAACATATACAGGTCTGGTTCTAATAAAGGTGAATACATTTATTTTTCTTAATGTTTAAACATATTTTGGTCTTTGTCTCATTTGACATTTTATTAAAACAATAATGTTCAAACATCCTGAGTTGATGAAACACACATTTACATGTAACTTAACACATGCACAAGTAACATTACGTTCACTGCAGCGGGTTTAATTATCTAATTATTTCAGTCAAATGTGTATGTTTTATTTCCTACTTATTATTTATTATCAAATTAATTTCACAACACCTTTTATACACATATAAGGACAACAAATGCAGGTAAATACTCTTATCATTAAAAATAAGCTTTATATAAACAAAATGACAAATTATGGGTTAAATTGATACTTATTGTCAATATCTATGACTGTAACAGATATATTATTTGTAAAAATGAACAGCATACGATTTTAGATTAGTATTAAAACAATAACATAAGTGGTGATCATATGATATTTAATCACATTTCTAAGTGTTTAAAAACAGTCTAGCAGGAAAATTTGCTAAACCTAGTGTCACAAAAGCATTAAAATAGTATTAAAACACAACCAATGTTTATTTTTGGCTATATAAACCATCGTTACACCGAATAACATTTTGGTTACTGTCTTTTGTTTATCGTACCAAAATGTATTCGGTAAACAAACGGTAAATAAACATATACAGGTCTGGTTCTAATATAGGTGAATACATTTATTTGTCTTGATGTTTAAACATATTTTGGTCTTTGTCTCATTTGACATTTTAGTAAAACAATACTGTTCAAACAACCTGAGTTGATGAAACACACATTCACATGCAAGTTAACTTAACACATGCACGAGTAACGTTACGTGCACGCGCTCTTCACCATAGCGGGTTTATATTTGGCTTTCAAAGCGCAATATTTGAGATATACATGTACATTTTATTACTTACTTATTTGCCGCACGTGGAAAAGCTTTCCTTTCGTCTCGAATCCGGAAGAAATCGCTCATCTACTTCCTTGGTAACGTCTCCAAGCGCCCTTGTCAACAGTTATCTACTCAACATGTCCGCTAGCTTCAGTGTGCGCATGCGCGTGACGCGGTAAACAAACCACCGACAAGAGATGCTTTGAAAACACTGTAGGAATGTTTATTATAATTTATTTCAAATATAGACATCAAATATAGGGAAAATACCACAGTTCTGTGCAATAGATCTGAACATCACGAGCAAAGTAAAGAGCCTTTTCCACTGACCCTGTTGAGAGTGTCTCGTTTTGTGAGTTTGCAGCACCGTCACATTCATTTCACCAAACAAACACACAGTATTGCCTTACAAGATATCAAACACGGCAGAACATTTATAAATGTTTACCATCGACTGCATCATGAAGACTGACAATCAAGCGTGCAAAGTTCGGAAAAATAACATCGAACATGATATCAAAACAAAAGAGTATTAAAAAAGAGAGAGATATTTAAAAACAGGATACCAATTCAACAATGGAATACAAAACATTTTAAATAAATTAAATACGTTTTAATAAATTTAAAAGATTTTGATTGGATATTTAAAGTGGAATGCAGGCAGAAGATTTGCTAAGGCTAGAAAATAATGAAGTAATCCCTCTCAAAGATCAATCCTTTAAAGTCAACACGAAACCAAAGCCAGCCCTGCTGAAAAAACTGCTTAAACTGGCCTAGGCAGGTTGGCTGGTTTTAGCTGGTCAACCAAGCTGGTTTTAAAGGGGTTTGGCCATTCCAGGCTAGTTTCCAGGCATTTCTTGCCTGGTCTTTACTAGTCAGGCTGGGCAATGACTAGGGCCCCAAAGAAACTGCTGACATTTTTTGCTATTTCTGCACAGAGTTTTGTTGAAATACTGCGGATTTTATGCGGAATGGTTTTTGGAGTATCATAACTAAAACCTTAATATATGAAATAAAAAAAACTTTTAAACTTTTATTTAATGTTTGCAATGCAAATCCAAATACATCCACTTTATTTAGTAAACAAAGCAAGTGTCTCAAATAATATATGAGCAATTCCACGCAAATGTCAACCTTGCCATAAAAAATTATTTAGTTTTCAGCAAAATAGACAAACCGTTTCTACATTTTTTTGTGTTAGCAAGTATTTTACAGTACTGTAAAAATACTCGTGAATGTATCTGTCAGTATTTCAAACTATTATATTTATTTTGCCAAAATCACACAAGTGGCAATTTCACAGCTGTCACATCCATAACGGAAATGTGTCACATCCATAACGACACTTTTTCTTCATAAATGCAAAAATGTCAAATAAAATAAAATCAATCATTTTAATTCTATAGTGAGCCGACTCATACCTGTTTGATGAGCATTGTTTCTTTTGGGTTGTGCAGTTTAACTGTCAGAATTTCTAAATAATCTGTTGTCGACTGTAAATTCGCAAACTTTTTTGTCACATCCATAACGCATGTTTATTTTCCTGATTAAAAATATAAAACATGTTTACATATTGATATTTTTCTGCTCCCATAACTCTGTGGTGAGCTATTTTGGAAAATATAAACAGAAGTTTCGATATAATGTCAACATATACTTTCTGTGTGAAATTATGTTTTGAGTTTTTACTGCAAATGTCACATCCATAACGCTGGAATTGCTCATATCTAATAAAAGACTTTACAAACTGTATTGTATATAAATCATATGAACATTTTCATATGAGTTATTAATATTACTGAAATTTATTTAAAAACTGAATAAATATAAATTTACACTCATTTACACAAGTAAATAAATAGACTCAATGATGGGCTAAAAATCTTAAGATTTCTGAAAATGTTTATTTGATTTATTTACAATACAGTTTGTAAAGTAATATTGTCTGTCTTTTAGTAGAGATATTATATGACACAATCTCTGGACATTTCTGCATAAATCCGCAGATTATTACAAAATTCTCAGCAGAAATAGCAAAAAACTTCCAAAGATTCAGTCTAGCCCTAGCAATGACCAGTTTAAATCAGCTTGACCAGCTTAAATCAGCCTTGACCAGGCTGATCAAGCTGATTTTAGCTGGTTTAGGCAGGTCATTATCCAGCCTAACCAGCTAAAACCAGGCTGGAAATGGCTGGAAACCAGCCTGTAAATGGCCAAACCCCTCTAAAACCAGCCAACCAGCTTAGGCTGGTTTAAGCTGTTATTTTCAGCAGGGAACCCTGTTTACTTTATTCAGATTTCTGCTTACATTTTGAATAATTAATAAGTTTATGTTCTCAGCTAGAGTGACACGGTGGCTCAGTGGTTAGCACTTGTTGCCTCAGAGCAAGAAGGTCACTGCTTCGAGTCCCGGCTCCAGTTTCCCCCACAGTACAAACACATATAGGTGAATTGATTAAGCTAAATTGGGTATGGTGTATGTGTGTGAATGAGAGTGTGTATGTTTGTTTACCAGTACTGGATTGAAGCTGGAAGGGCATCCGCTGAAAACATGCTGGATAAGTTGGCGGTTCATTCCGCTGTGGCTACCCATGATGAATAAAGGGACTAGCCAAAGGAAAATGAATGAATGAATGTTCTCAGCTAAGAAAAACAATGCTTAAAGTGTTGTCAGAACGTTTCTTAAATGTTTTTAAATGTTTTTCTTGGTTATATTAATGCTAAGAGAACATTACATTTTAATTACCTTGAATTGCTGAGATTTAATTACCTTGATCATGATAGAAACGTTACTTATTAAATGTTCTCGAAACATTCACTCACTCATTTTCTTTTCGTCTTAGTCCCTTTATTAATCCAGGGTTGCCACAGCGGAATGAACCGACAAGTTATCCAGCACTTTTTTACACAGTGGATGCCCTTCCAGCCACAACCCATCTCACCTGTTCACCTGTTCCCAATTTACCTGTACCGCATGTCTCTGGCCTGTGGGGGAATCCGGAGCACTTGGAGGAAACCCACGCGAATGCAGGGAGAACATGCAAACTCCACACAGAAACGCCAACTAACCCAGCCGAGACTCGATCCAGCGACCTTCTTGCTGTGAGGCGACAGCACTACCTACTGCGCCACTGCGTCGCCCTCGAAACATTCTGAAACAATTTTTTAACAATAATTTGATGAAGGTAAAGTTTCTGTGCTAACATTATTAAAGACCAGACTTTGAATGACCGTTTTATTAGTGACACTATGATAAATATTTGTTGATAACTTTGAAAAATGTTCACTGTGAACAAAACACTGAGAGAATGTTTCCCTGATTAATTCATTGTAATCTGGCTTCCAAAATAACCTGAATTTGTGACTGATTTTTAATCAATCCCTAAAATGATTCTCCAACACTGCGGTCATGCAAGTAAATGGGTCTGTGAGCAGCATTTCGTGTTGACTTCAACACTCCCTCTGCTTTCTCCTTCACACATCTCTCTTTATGTAAATTATCGCAGGTCTTCATCTGCGTGTGATTTGTCCAATCGCGTCATCTAAACATCACCATGGTGATATCAAATACGTGTCCTGTACTTTAAAGTAAGCACTTATTCGAGAACTTGTGCAAAACTAGCTGGCTCCTGTGTTAAAAGTGTGCATTTAGCTTCCACTTGTGGCCTTTAATTAGAGGAGCATTTCCAAATGATTATTATGGAACTGTAATAAAGTGCCGTTTGACCCTGTGAGCCGTCCCGGGGCAGACGAGGACGTTATTGCTCTCACCACAGATGCCTGCCTGTGAAGTTTGGAGGAGCCGTGGGGATCTGAAACACAGAGACTGAGCTCACATATATCCAGTATTTACATTCACCATAAAAACACTTTTTACAAATTTAGGTGGATTAAACATAAACATTACATTGTTACATTGTCCCCCCAAAAATACTTAAGAATTGTGTTATTTCAACTTATTTTAAACAAGTAGTTTGAACAAGCAGCAAAATTCATTTTTTGAGTGTAGAAATAATGTTATTATGATGTTACCGGTCCTGCATTCATGAGCAGAGCCATTTCAGTAGGCTGGTAAACGTGACTCCGGAAAGGCAGAGCGGGCCGTATTAATCCATTATGGTAACCTCCAGCCTGCAGAACTGCTATAAAAAGACATAAAATATACATATAATATGATATCAAACAAATGAAGAGGAACATATGAAATGGCAAAACGTAATTGGGCTTTATAGAATAAAGAAGAACTAAAAATATCTAAAATATTACATCATTTTGACTCAGATGTTTGATTTTTCAAATTTCTTGGAAACCAATTAATAATGCTTTAGAAACACTTTTTGGGTTTATGTTATAACCAAAATCTAACCTTCACAGAACCTCGGCATTACCTTAAAGGGCACCGATGGTAAAAAATCTACTTTTCAAGCTGAAACGGAAAACCCAGAGTTTCTCTCATTTCAGGGTAAAAACTCTGAATTTAAAATAATATTAGACTAGATATTTTTCAAGACACTTCTATACAGCTTAAAGTGACATTTAAAGGCTTTACTAGGTTAATTAAGTTAACTAGGCAGGTTAGTGTTATCAGGCAAGTTATTGTATAACAATGGTTTGTTCTGTAGACTATTGAAAAATTATAGCTTAAAGGGGCTAATAATATTGACCTCAAAATGGATTTTAAAAAGTTAAAAACTGCTTTTATTCTAGCCGAAATAAAGCAAATAAGACTTTCTCCAGAAGAAAAAATATTATCAGACATACTGTGAAAATTTCCTTGCTCTGTTAAACACTATTTGGGAAATATTTAAAAAAGAAAAAAAAATCAAAAGGGGCTAATAATTCTGACTTCAACTGTATATCCATTACTAATATCTGGTGGCTAGAAAGTGATTAATTCTTTATAAGTTGTTAAAACATCGGTCTCTGTGATGCAGCAAGTACAGAGACTGTCATGTACACCATGATTTTGTATAAAATTCACATTAATGTGTGATAAAAGTGGTCCTAAACAAATATTATCTCAATTCAAAAGAGTAGCAGCTCGGACCTGGAAAATTCTAACGTTAATTCTAACGTCACAACTTTACAAGCGGATTATGCCTATTGTCACAGCACATCCAAAAGGGAATTACACCAAAAAAATATTTATAAAATATAAAGT